TTTGTTAAAATTGACTTGAATATGAGTCCCGATGTGACTTGAAACTAGTCGAGATTTCCTTTATTGGTTTACTTCAGTAAGTAATGTATGTACATTATTACAATGAACACGATTGTAGTAATCGTTACGTATTCCTACTATGAATTACTTGATGAGTATAATTTCTAACAGTTACTTGAGTGTAAATAAACGATTAGAAACATAATTTTAAAAACTTACATATTATTCTATCATTCGAAATTTGGAGTTTTATTTTATATGGTAACTAATAATAATGTACGAACTCAAGTTTTATATTGAGAGAAAACGGGTAATACATATTTCATCGCTTTAACAGCTCATGAATTGACAATCGTGGTAATGCAAATGATATTTAAATAATTCAGTCGGAAAGTTAAAACACAGTACATACTTCTCTTCTAAAAGGTGTATGTTTGGTATATGCTCTTGTTGTTTTTTTTTATTTTCTTTCCCTAAACGAAGTATTTGCTTGGACTGTGAGTGTTTTTTTTTAAATTGAATAATGTGAAATCTATTCGTGAAAACCTGTAATTGGCTTTCTGTTGTTATTATGTTATCTGTTTGTTTGCTATGTGTAGCTGTTGGTTTTCCAATCCATAAATAAATAAATAAATAAATAAAAGGAATATCGTCCATTCTGACGGAATTCACTTCAAATATTTTATTTGTATAAATCTGAACTCACCCAGTAATAAGGGGTTAACCTATTGTCGTACATCGAGCACAATTCTCGACCCCGCAATATTAACTACCTACTATGTATTTTTAGAAATATCTGCTATTAATTTTTAGAAAGGCCTTTTGTAAAATGTTAGGTCGGCCGGAAAATTAGACTTTAAACTCTTACTTGGCAGTCGCACTACGACCAACGAAGTAATCAGAATAAACTGAAAGCAAAGTACGAGTATGTACATAGTATTGCATAATAATACTTTAATATTTTTATTGGGACAAGCCCACTATAATCTCCCAATACCGCTGCAACTCCTGTAAGCCAGGATCTACAGTAGATACAACCATGAAAACATCGAAACACTGAAGTCCCGCGCCTCCCAGGGATATGAATAACTGTCTTGGTTCCCGCAACGAAATGAATCAGATGAGATAGAGATGAGAGGAGAAGAAATAAACGATAGTTTCCACTTCCCTTGGTGAATGCAGGAAACAGAATGAATTAAGCCTAAAGGCACAAAAAGAGAATATACTATACTGGGAGAAGCCCAGTCGCCAAGCACCACGGAAATTTGATTAAAAACTAAGTGGGTCCTATGTGTGAGCTGTTACACTTGCTTCCAATAATAGGTCTATACCAAAAGTGCTTAAACGCATGGAAATTTGTTCTAGATTCCACAAGGTCCGTATAATAAGCTACATCTGACGAAACAATTAAATTATTTAACATAGTATTACGTTCATATTGCCAGAGACCAAACTCCCAGAGTATGTGATGGGCGTACTGAGGGCCAAGCACGAATAACTATCGCATTCGTATCGTAACAGTATCGAGCGCGTTAAGCGTTCTGATTGGTTGGTTCACTTAAGCCGGCCAATCAGAGCACCGAACGCGCTCGATACTATTACGTTACGAATGCGATAGTTATTCGTGCTTGGTACTCTGTTCGTTTTGCAACATTGATACCATGGTGAAGCAAACCAAATAGATTCTTTAGTTTCTGCCTCTTTACTGAGTCAATCCTTATTTTCTATCTATAGCTTTATCTTCTTTCTTTACCAACTTTAACTTGGCTAACTGTACATAGGTACTAAGTTATCGCGTTAACCACTGAACTGAATCAGGTTATATTTTCTTAGTTCATATTTATGAAGGCTCAATGAAATAAATTAGGCCAACGACGACTAAAGGTCACTAAGTTCAAGGGCTAGTTCACCTCTTTATTAAAAATAGACGCCACTTAAATCTATTTTCATTTTAGCTTCGGTATTAAATTCCACACGCTATCATTAATCTTTAGACGGTTGAGGTTTAATATCCTTCATAGTTCGGTATTAAATTCCACACGCTATCATTAATCTTTAGACGGTTGAGGTTTAATATCCAATAGGAGACGAGTCGTCGAAAGAGGGGGTGAATCGTTTCAAACGAGTGTAATGATTTGATGTTGATTGACTTAAATGGTACAGTTTTATAAGTCTCCTAATTGTTATTGGTCATTAATAATTTATCTATTTCGTGTCTTCTTTTTCCACTTATACTGAGGTTAGTATTAAGTCCATCACCTATATATACTACTGGCATTCTATTACCTATATATTACTGGCTTCTGCCCGCGGCTTCGCTCAGGTTTCTGTGGGGTAAAAAGTAGCCTATGTGTTCTTTTGTCCTTCGGCCCCTTCAGCCGTTTTGACATGATTGTGTAACAAACACACAGATATAAACATACAAACTCACAAACTTTCCCATTTATAATATTTGTAGTAAGATGTGGTCATGTGGTATAAATACACACTACAGTTTACACATACGACCACATTATGTATTTCACACTTAAAATGAATATAGAAACGAAACTAAATAAAAGTTTGCAAAATAGATCAACAACCCCAATAGGTATATAACGTTTAATCGCACAGAGTATATTACAGTAATATTCACCTTTGGAGTCATTTCAATCCCCGAAGGGTAGGTCACTTTTACCAGCCATGTTATTTTATTACCCGACTGCCAAAGAAGGAGGGTAATGTTTTTCGAGTGTATGTAAGTATGTATGTATGTCTTTTCCTTTGTGACCACCTGTAGCCTAAACGGCTTGATGGATTTTGATGTATGAGGTATCGTTAGATTTGTCTTGATTACGGGAGTGTCATAGGATACATTTTATCCTAAAAGTCCCACGGGATAAAGACATAATAATATTTTTTCTAAATTTCCCTTTAAAAAAATATGTATGCGGTATCATTAGATTCATTTCAATCACGGGAGTAATTAATATAGGATACGTTTTTTCTCAAAATTCCCACGGGAACATGTTAATTCTGCGTCAACGCAAAGCAACTCATGCGTTAGCAAGCAAAAAGATAGGGCGTGGCCTGGCATGCGGCGCGCGGCGCGGTGCGGAGGGGGATATGCTCGAGTATACAGCCCGATTGCGGGCACACGCATGAGGGCACACGTCGTTGACGGTCGTCTCTAAATAGCGATTTTTTCGATACTTCGTCGTCTGACGCGAAACTTATAAAGTATAAATAACTCGTTCTTTTTTTTTCTTTCGTGTTTCTCTCTTTAAATTTATTCGTTCTTTCTAATTAATTAACTCGTTCTTCCGTTCTTTTTTTTGGTTCTTTCTTAAATTCTTCATATTAATTAATAATATAATAATAATTATTAAAAATAAAAACAGCTAAAAAGTTATAAATAAAAAAATTATTATTAAAAAAACAAAATACCCGACTGCACACTAAAAAAAGAGTAAAACAAGCCCCACAATAATATTGATCAATCAAATGCTAAAAACTAATTATGTAATACCGTTTAAACAATACCTATATTAAAATACACTACAATATGTGTTCGTAATCGATAGTTAAATAAACAGAAACTTATTTTGAATACAAATTTACTGAATATAATTTATAAATGTTGATGGAAAGCATCGCAGGCGGGGACCAACAGAGGCTTATTTATAGTCATTTCGGTTGTGCACCATTTAGCAGAATTTTCGTTGGTGGCGGTCAAGGTGGTCCCCGCCTGCGATGCTTTCCATCAACATTTATAAATTATATTCAGTAAATTTGTATTCAAAATAAGTTTCTGTTTATTTAACTATCGATTACGAACACATATTGTAGTGTATTTTAATATAGGTATTGTTTAAACGGTATTACATAATTAGTTTTTAGCATTTGATTGATCAATATTATTGTGGGGCTTGTTTTACTCTTTTTTTAGTGTGCAGTCGGGTATTTTGTTTTTTTAATAATAATTTTTTTATTTATAACTTTTTAGCTGTTTTTATTTAACGAAAATGTTGTAGATGTAGAAGACTATCGTCAACGACGTGTGCCCTCATGCGTGTGCCCGCAATCGGGCTGTATACTCGAGCATATCCCCCTCCGCACCGCGCCGCGCGCCGCATGCCAGGCCACGCCCTATCTTTTTGCTTGCTAACGCATGAGTTGCTTTGCGTTGACGCAGAATTAACATGTTCCCGTGGGAATTTTGAGAAAAAACGTATCCTATATTAATTACTCCCGTGATTGAAATGAATCTAATGATACCGCATACATATTTTTTTAAAGGGAAATTTAGAAAAAATATTATTATGTCTTTATCCCGTGGGACTTTTAGGATAAAATGTATCCTATGACACTCCCGTAATCAAGACAAATCTAACGATACCTCATACATCAAAATCCATCAAGCCGTTTAGGCTACAGGTGGTCACAAAGGAAAAGACATACATACATACTTACATACACTCGAAAAACATTACCCTCCTTCTTTGGCAGTCGGGTTTATTTTTATTTTTATTTATTTAGTAAACCAACAGCGAACCCAATAATAGGTTTCCCTTATTTCCTAAATGTTGTAAACATGCAAACGGACTTAATAAAATAATAAAAAATGACTTCTTGATCTCTATTACAAAGACTTAAATTTCGGAATAAAAATACGGAGTCAGTGTCCAAATTGCTTTTATTAATACATCATGAGTTCATAATGATATAATGAGGTAGCAATAGGCTCAACCCCTATTACATGGGACTCATAACATAAATAGTGAATAGTGGGTGTTACATTGTAGTGGCATTAAGTGCCATAGATAATGTGCAGTCTGCCTACCCCTTCGGGGATAAAAGGCGTGATGTTATGTTATGTGGTTAATGTAATAGGGAGACTATATATTCTACTTGCGGTTATACGACCAACGAAGTATTGTGTTAATTATTATGTATCTTATTTACAATTCTCAGTAGTTACCTTTAATTCCATAAATATTTAAACACTTATTCTTGTTACAGGATTTGCCCGTGCAGCAGCTAGAAAAACTTAAAATGGGTGAGTGTAACTTAATTGCGTATTAGTTATTATTTAAGTGTGCGAGAGCCATGCTTCGGCACGAATGGGCTGGCTCGACCGGAGTGATACCAAGGCCTTACAGAAAACCGACGTGAAGCAACGCTTGCGTTGTGTTTCGTTGTGTGAGTGGGGTTACCGGAGGCCCAATTAACCTCCCCTTCCCCAATCTCCCCAATTCCTGAATCCCAACGATCCTCAAACTCCTAATCCCCAAAAGGCCGGTAACGTACTTGTAACGCTTCTGGTGTTCCAGGTGTCCATGGGCGACGCCGATTGCTTACCATCAGGTGATCCGTCTGCTCGTTTACCGGCTTATGCCATTAAAAAAATGTACTTTGGGACCAAAATTTTGAAATAGACTGGGTTTTAAGGAAATCTCGGTATAATTCAATAGCATTTTAAGCTGTAATGAAACTTAAGTCGAAAGAAGAGTCTCGATTTAACTTTGTATAAACTACTCAATGCTCATAACTATCGGCTCCTAGCGTAGCTTGAAACTGGTCGTGTAACCTCGTTGAACAGTTACGTACCTATTTAATTAATTGAATATGACACACAACAGTGTTATAATGCATGTAAGCATTATCTATGATTCATTTTAAATTATTTATTTAGTCTTTAATGTACACAATTTAATTAAAATGGCACATAAGGCGAACTTAATGCCCTATGGCACTCTCTACCAGTCATAGGGTTTAAGTAGAAAATCTGCGAAAAATAAGGTACGAATAAACCAACAGCAAAAAGAAAAAAAAAATATGTTAGTTATATTGTTATTTGATTTTTATCCTGTCTCGTCGATAGTCGATAGTCTAGGTGCAAGCCAGACTATATCCACTAGCTTATCTAAAGTGCATTGGCTTATTATATTATGCAGACACGTTCTAAATGAGATTGCCCTCTATCTCTAGCAGGCAGATGTTTATGTGTCCTACATGAAACGAGTGATTCTGTTAATCGCTACATTTATTTAAAAAAAACATTGCCACCCTAGGATTTTCTCCTGTGTCGTGGGTGTGTTTACAAATATACAAGTTCACGTACACATGATACCCAGACCCGGAACAACAATCTGTGGATCACACAAAGAGTTGTTCCGTGCGGGAATCGAACCAGCGACCACGCTAATCGTGCCTTCAAATATTACATCCCGTTGACGGAAAACGGACTCAAAACTGTCGAACCAACAACCATATAACCAAACAAGCAGTCATATTAGTTGATTTTTTTTTAATTTTGTGGTTACGTAGTTTCCATAAAGTAATAAAACTAAATTAGGTACCTATAACTTAGTCCATTTCTTCCAGTCTGAAGGTTTTCACAGCCTATATTAATTTCGTATAAAATATCATCATTTATCATTTGCTTCTAATTTTGTTCACGCTCAGAGTATTTATGTAATGAATGTCATTTGTTCTTTCTTCTCTAGAATCAATTAATTTATTCATGAAATATTCATAAAGACATTAGATGAGGTGACAGTTTTGGTGATGAAACCAGAATTCTGTTAGATATTTTAGCCTGTATTATAATTAGAATTTCAATTTAAACGAAATACCTAGAAAGAGACGGTATATCGAATTTACAGTATGCCGAAAACAATTAATAGTTACATTACTCTCATTGTTAGGGGGCGTGTAAAAACTACGCCATGTAATATTGTACCTAAAATAATAAATTTTGACAAAATATCCAAAAAATTTTGATCAATTCTCGATTTCGACTGCACGGTTGGCGGTGGCTGGGCAACTGGCTGCCACGCAACGTGTAGCGGGTTCGCTTCCCGTATGGAACGAATCTTTGTGTAATCCACAAATTGTTGTTCTAGGTCTGAGTGTCAAGAGTATGTGAACTTGTATGATTGTGAACGCACCCATAACACAGGAGAATTACCAACTGACGGGCAACGTTTAAAAAAAATTCGACTGAAAAGATTTCGAATTGACATGACCTCAAAACAAAAGTAACAAATATGTCTTGAGTTAAATGCAATTTTCTTTGTTAAAAAAACAGATTTTTTTAACCTATAACCGTACTCATGATAGAATTCTGAACATGATTCTGGCATTCTATAAACTGGCTAGCACCTGTTGAACGTGGCCAAATTGCCACATTTGCGGGGAACATTCACGCTCGACCTATCAATCATGATTGATTAACCCTCTGTAAACACAACCGGTACATAACCTGTAAACATTCTGACTGGGTTTGGTATAATGATCCAGTTTGACACGTGGATGGTTAAACATGACATGTATGTTGCTGGATGTCGATATTAAACCTCAAATGTGTAGTTTGTTTTGTAGCCTTTGTTAAAAGTTTGTTAGTGAATTATTTTGGTTATTATTTGTAAGTAAATAAAGGTATTATTTACCTAAGCATTATAGAACTAGCTGTTGCCCGCCACTTCGTCCGCGTAGAATATGAATTTTAGGATGTAACTTTTTTTTGTTACAATTTTCCAAAATGAATGTAGCCTATTATGTAGTACGTCAGCTAATGCAAAATCGGTTTAGTTTGACAGACAGACAGACAAAAATTATTATTATGGTATGTGTATTGTATGCATATTCATATGCATGCAGTGAAAATTATTGTTCAACCCTTCTTTGTGTGAGAAGGCCTGTGGTCAGCAGTGGCCACTTATAGGCTGTTGATGATGATGAATGTATTCCAACGAATATTGCCATATTCAATAATATACTCCTTCAATTCAAATTATAAATGCAACTTTCGCATTATACACGAGCTGCTGCAATTCCCAGCGTGGTAATCGGTTCAGGAAATTACTTTACAAAATGAATAGCTCCTGTAATTCGTGGTAAAAGTTTATTATAATAATGTACGAGTAACATATTTGTAACCTTAACACGGAAAACTTTGCTTTCCATGAAATATAACAGCTTTTGTTATAAATTCCTCACGCGAGTAATTTGTGGAGAGCTATAAACAATGTACAAACTTCACCTAAACACTAACTAGGTGAATAGTTCTAGTGTAATTTATACAACTATTAAAATTACAACGTTGGTTTGTGTAATTATCTAACTTTATGTTATTTTAGCTAGATAGTAGAAGCTATGTATAACTAGGTCCCTTTATTTAAGGGTGGACTGTTACTTTTTATTTGCAGAAAACTACACTCTGTATTACACAATTTGTAGTCTGCTAATGAAATTAAATTGTAACATATTACTCTTCACGTCATTGACATATGGATTCTTATTAGAGTCAATCAAAAATAAAAACTTTTATAATTTTTACTTGTAAGTTTAAATTTGTTTGTCAACAAATTAAATATCTATTTTATATTGTTGAAACAATATTGCGCTAACCACATTTTAACTTTTATCAAAACATTTTCTCTAAACATTTGCTTACCATAAGGGCCGTTTACCGGCTTATTCCATAAAACAAATCACACTTAAAATATATGAAAGACTAAAACAAATCGATTTCAATCTAGTGAATTTGAAATCTGAAACGCAATCACGCAATAAATTCTGATTTAAATTGTTACTCTCTCTTATAAATTGTTAAAGAACACTTTGAGTCTAGATGACTAGTTTGACTTAATCTGAATATAAAAAAGTTTTCGCGATACACTCACTTTTAAGAACTTTTATCTAAGTATTTAATACATTTATTTGATTTTATTCTGTTCCCATTTTACCAGTAAGGTGTTTATTATTGCAAAATACACTCTATTTTTATTTAATTGAAAGTTTAGAATGGGATGCAGCCAATATTATCAATACTTCCTCGCTATTGAACTTCTTTGTTGACAGTACTAATGTACTATAATGCCTAGAATATTGAGATAACTCTAGAACTAGGTCACTTTGAGTTCTGTTATACCGCAATCAGTATAAATGGTTTTCAAAAGTTACACGATCCTTTGTAGAAGTTAGATAACTAAGTACGTGTTCCTAGCTATCAGTGTGCTCTATAAATCTATACTAATACTATAAAGCTGAAGATTTGTTTTTTTGTTTGAACGCGCCAATCTCCGAAACTACTGGTCCGATTTGAAAAATTCTATCTGTGTAGCACGATTAATAAGCGCCGAGCAGAGCGAGTGAAACCGCGCGGATGTAGCTAGTATTTTATATGTGTGTATGTATATTGGTATTATGTAGGTGTGTTAATGTTATGACGAAGATAAATTCGGGTGCAAAGTTATTTTATTATTATAGCAAAACCATAAACTAAGAACAAATTCGCCATTGAAGTAATATTCAATCCATAAAAACAGGATAATACCCAATTATTATTTTTTACATAGGTCTGCTCTTATAAGTTTCAGCTGAGGGTAAGGGAAAGTCGCTGCTAATAGAAGTGATTTATATGGATACGAGACATAATATCGCGTGGCACCATGCGTGAAATCAGAAGTCATTCATGGCATGTGTTCCTTCTCGAAAATTCCGTATTTCCGGGTTTCGTGCGGTATTTAAATGTGAGTTATTTGATCGTTATTTGTAAGCGATTTGTATGCGATCTTCGCGCCATGATTGTTAGGAATCGGAGCGTTAAAGGATAATAAATCAGAGACTTTTTCGTCGTTTTATTATTTTCTACTGTACTTGGAAATATTTACTTATGCTGATGCGTATAGAACAGCAAAAAGTGTAATAAGTTTCTCTTCGAGGAAAAAAGTCAGAGTATGATGAGTTGGATTCTGTATCTTATGAGGTACCTACATACTTATACTTCTGTATGTTTGAGCTGTGGTAGTAGACAGGCTTAGCAGTAAAAAATCACATGAATATGGTATATTATACCTAAGTATAATCGTGAGCATTAGCCCGCGAAATTAGGTATGAAGATTTTATTTCCAAGGTACCTATATACTCATCATCATAACATCACGCCTTTTATCCCCGAAGGGGTAGGCAGAGGTGTACATTATGCCACTGTACAATGTAAAACCCACTTTTCACTATTTATATTATGAGTCCCATGTAATAGGGGGTGACCCTACTGCCATATATCGGGCACAATTCCAGACTCTGTGCTACTACTGTGAATGTTTTGAAAAACCCAGTAATACTTTGCCCGACCCGGGAATCGAACCCGAGACCCCTTGCCGGGCAGTCGCACTTCCGACCACTCGGCCAATGAGGCAGTCACCTCTATGCCAATGAGTACCTATATACTATCGAAGTTATCAAAATTTTGTGTTCATCACACATATAAAATGAGATGATTATAGTCAGAATGGCAATGACGTAGGCAATGCTTAATAACAGTTATTTGCAAATCAGTAATTGAATAATATATTCAACCGAGCGATTTTTATCGTTGAATGACAACGTTAATTACTGATAATTGCTTGCTAATTACACCACACTGAATGGTATTACTGCGTCGTAGCAAGTTTTGTATTGGCTTCAGAAGTTGGTACTCTTACTGTTTTCTTGGCAAATATTATTCGGCTTATTACAAGAGTTGATTTAGATGATTTGTTTATCGAATACACACATCTTTACATATCTTTCAAGTATTTATTTAGAGATTTAGACAAATGTTAGGTAGGTTATGAATTTCGAAACGAAATCTGTAATTGTTATTCTATGCGATACCAATTTTTATGGCATACTTTTGTTTCATTTTCTCCAATTATTAAGGAGTTACGAAACAATTCGAATCTGTCAATAGTTTGAAATCGAAAGCAAGAAAAAGTACAGAATATTAATCCTTACTAATATTATAAATCTGAAAGTGAGTTTGTTTGTTTGTTCCACTTTCACGCCGTAACTACTCAACCGATTGCTTTGAATTTTTGCAGACGTAAAGTTAGAAGTCCGGATTAAATAATAGGGTACTTTTTAACCCGGAAAAAATTAATATTCCCGAGCAAAAATAAAAGTATTTGTATAGATGGCGCTGTGTCTATTGGTATACGTCACATAGGCTACTTTTTATTCTTTTGTAATGCGAGCGAAGCCGCGGGTAAAAGCTAGTGTTACATAAGACTTTTATTATAAAGCAACAGAAATCTATATCCAATAACCCGATTATCTTCAACGAAGTGATCTAATCAGAAGCTTTGAGCACACTTCAAAGGACTTAATAGGGATCCTACGCGACCACGTGTAACTAGAAATCAATCATGAACTGATAAAACTTGCCTCCATAAATCTCCCATCTTTGCACTTTAATAGGAGAATATTAATAGAGAACAAACTTTTACCTGCGGCTTGACTCGCAGAGAAAAGATAGCTTATATGGACTTTTCCGTACTTTTTAACCACGTACATCACATCAATACCTACTCCTCAATATCACATTACATCAACAACCTATAAGTGGCCACTGCTGACCTAAGGCCTCTTCTCATACGGAGAAGGTTTGAGCATTAAATATCATACTTGATCAATGCGGGTTGGCAATTTTAAACTTGTAATTAGAAGTTTTAAGACCAGGTTTCCCTACGATGTTTACGATGTTTTACTTCACCGTTTGTCAGTGATGACTAAATAATCTTTGAAAGTACATATAAGTCGGAAAAAGTCACATTGGTACCTACTTTCTGTTGGTAGGTTTCGAACCCGCACGATCGTACATGAGAAGCGGGCGTCTTAAACCTCCGAGCCACCACGACATTTTCTCAATATAGGTAGACAAAATTTCAAGAATATTGGTCAAGTAGACAAAAGGTAAAGAGGCAAATATACAAACTTACTGTCGAATTCAAAATTCGTTGAATTTTGTTGGGATCGTACCTGTAATCCTAATCCCAATAATACAATACATAGTAAACTAAAGGTAAAACGAAAATAGAGCTTTCATAGAGGTTTCATAGAATGTGAGGAAACTGCGGTCTTGTATTGTGAGCTAAAAATAGCTTAGTGTGTGTGTGAAATAATGTACGAAGGTGGGGTAAGTTCTACCCCCTCTCTTAACCACCCTATGCTGACGTAGAACGCAACTAAGGGATCATTTGAAGAGGTTACATAGCAGCATCTTACGTGGAATATCTTGTTTACAACCTTTTTTGTCAGTCGTCGCCATTTTGAATTTACTTCACATCTTTTTTTAGATGGCGGTGCTAAATTGTGTTTAGAATACGGTGGTGTTGTGGTATTATTATAGCTGTGTAACCTTTTGAGGGTTATAAATAAATAGAAACTTGGGATAAGGTTCATTATAGGTTAAGAGTCAAATAAAATATCTACATCTTGCATTAAAAATTAGTACAGTAGTTAATAGATTTTGCTTGCTTTAGAATTTGGTCCATGGATGTAATTACTTGCCATCGAAAGCCACCTATTTGTTTGTTTGTAGATAAAACATGTAGGATTTGTAATTGTATCCTGTTTAAAAAGTTCCATTTACATACGTATGTATGAGGACCAATAAATATAATACAGAAAAGTACAATATTTTAAAACTTTCTAGAAAAAATATAAATTAATTTTCACAGACTAGACATAAATCAAGCTTGTTTAAAAAATATGAAGGTCGGGAGCTAACTGCTTTTACCTTCACTAGATCAAGTTCCTAAACCAGGTCAGGAGATTATTTTATCAAATATAAAACGTCAGATTACCCTCTCATCGTATTTTATATTGTTTGACCCTTAATTTATGATTTGAAATACATTGCGCCCGTAATTAGGTTCATGAAAAAAGAGGTCATAAAGATAAGCTATTATTTTAGTGGGTGTATTTATTTTTTCGAGGAAAACTAATTCGTTTGGTAGAATTATTGTTGTTAGTGGACTGTTATAGGCTGATTATGATGATGATAGTTTATTATTGCTTTTTTAATATTTAATAATTTGAAATTGGAAATGTTGTCATTATTTTGTCTTTACAATATTATTGCCATATCATCATTATATACACTTATCTGTATTAGATTGTAATGGAATGTACTAGCTCAGTTGTTGATGGAATTGGTGGAGTCTGTAGTTAAGCTCAAGTCTTATTTTCGTCATTTTGTTACCTATAATAATAGTCAACTACGTTGAGATACTAACGAAGAAGAATTATTATAACACCAGTTTCTTTGACGCCTAAAAAATTTTACTACTAATACAAATACTTTTTAAAACAAAGTACAACAAACCTTGGCAGCCCATATCATTTAGAACCGATCACTCATCCTCTCATCCATGATCGATCACTTTGAAGGCGGAATTGGGTTAATGATTAAATATAAACATATTTGTGTCAGGCAAATAACTTATTTACACGCACATACACACAGATACGGTAACAATAATTAAAGCGTTCAGCGTTCAACTCAATCAATTTGAAGCTTCCCGGATGTATGTATATATTTAATTTATGTGTTTGAGATTTATTGATGTCGGTTGTTTAATAGGTTGCGGTGAACTTGAATAAAATTACTGTTATGGATATTTTTTTTTTGATTAAATAAAATTTGTTTTATGGCATAGGCCGGTAAACGAGCAGACGGATCACCTGACGGTAAACAATCGGCGTCGCCCATCTTATAATATTGACATACGTTTATGTGAGACTTTGGTTCCACATAGGGTTTTGGGTAGTTTAAGTGACATTAATTCCCTATGGTTTATTAAAATACAAGACTCATCACTTGAGTAAGTAGTAGAGAGAGAGGGAGGAACGCGAGACCCGTTGCCCGGCAGTCCCACTTACGACCACTCGGCCAACGAGGCAGTCTCAGGACAGACTGACTCAGGAATGCTGACATTGATCACTGCAATCACCTCTGTAAAGATATAGATGCTTAGCATACTTCAGCTTGTATAAAAAGGAATTTTATGAAATAGATATTTAGTAGTAGTCCAGTTACCCCAAATGAAATTACAAATTCATCCTCTAGTTTAGCAATGATGTGCAGAAATAGGACAGATACTAATTTATAATCTTGTTACAGCGGAATCTGGCAAGGAGGGTGAGATGAACAGCGAACACGTGGAATATCACCGACTAGGTAAGTAACAGACTGCCAACATTAATTGTATAACTGCTCCGATGCTAATCCGATAACAATGCGAAATGTATAAATGAATAATGGTTCTGTTTTAACAGTTAGATTTAGTTAATTAGGAATGTTCAGTGAAAAGAATATAAATGTTTTGTTGGATATAGATTTCAACTGGAAACTACAATGCCTTAAGTCCGATTGTCGTGTTAAACAAGTATAGATTTGTCAGATCATTATTTACTTTATTTACACCACCATCTGTCATTTGATATTTTAATGTTATCGAAAATTGATCCATACTGATCATCATCAACAACTGTAAATGCCCACTGCTGAGCAAAGCCTCTTCTCACACGGAGAAGGTTTGTGCATTAATCACCATGCTTGCTCAATGCAGGTTGGCGATTTCAAACTTATAATTAGAAATTATTAGCCCAGGTTTCCTCACGATGTTTTCCTTCACCGTTTGTCAGAGGTGTCTAGATAATTTTAGAAAGTACATACAACTCGGAAAAAGTCACATTGGTACTTGCCGTTGGATACTGATAAGTAGACCTAATTAAAATTTCACAATATCAACATTCATGGTCAATACACATTTTCAAAAGCCACATGTTGATACATTAAACGTGTTTACGGGACGCGCCCACCAAGTAACCCAATGACATGCTCGTTATCACGCTGGTGAGCTAAAAGCGATATTATCACGGGCCTAGATAACTAGGCACTGGCCACTAATAGCTGGCTATCTACACTAAATTACTGCCACCTCAGTCACCAGGTTTTAGGTAACACCGAGAATTTGCCAGGGGAAATTGAACTTTATGATGCAATAACAAAACATAGATAATGTTTTAGTCAGAAAACTCTTGTCAGAGATATGACATTATAAGATACTTATGATTATTTATGTTATTAATTTAAATTGTAAAGGCAGAAAACTATTTTTTGGTATAGATTACCTCACTTATCTACCACTGTAATTCCAGTAAACCACGTTACCACTAGGTACCAGGTCCGTCTATTCTGGATATACGTTGAGAGCGAACTTACAGTTGAACATCAGTATCGGGCACTATTTTTAGATTCTGTGCTACATCTACTTAACACTGAAAACATCTTTCTCAGATTATGAATATATTGTTAGACAATTTAGATTCGAAATGTACATCTATTTATTCTAGCACTGAAAGCCCACGTTTTATAATTTCTATCCCTACAACGAAGCTAGATGCACAACTAAGTACCTACATCAAAGATAACGATCGATTCTCTTACATTCCAGCTAATACTCATTTATTCATAACTTAGATTCTCTTTGGAGATACAACACGTCTTTTATTCCCCAAAAGGGTATACAGAAGTACAAATGTAGTATCCCTTACCTATATTAGTATTTATGTTATAAATCTCTTAGCATAGAAGACGCTTCTGTTGCCGTACATCGAGCATAATGCAAAACTTTTTATTAAGAAATTATAAATAGGAAAGCCCAATAATTATATTTGCCCGAACGATTGCTGAGCGTCACTTTCTTCACAGTTTGGACCACGCAAACAACGTGGTAGTGTTATTGTCTTTGTTAGTAGGTTACGGTAATCGTTACTTATTTTATGTTATGTAAAACAGATGCTGTACAAGCGAATGGTGAGCTGGTCTCAAGGCTAGAACAGCATGCGTCAGCTGATGCTGTTGGAAGTGAGAAACCTCATGTCCATGCTGAAGCGCAGCTTGATGTACCATCTGAAGGTGTTCATCGAGTGTTAGTCCAAGAAGGCAGTCATGTCAGCGTACACGATGCTTCTGCTGTCACAACTCCAGCTAACGAAGAGGTTACTACTAAGGTAAGTCAAGTTTTTAAAGGGATAGACAAAAATTTTGGATAGGAACCCTGATTAAACCTAGTAATTTCATATTTTTATTAAGTTATTGTAATAAAAGCAGAAGCAAAACGGACATGATTAAGTCATTTTGGCACAGGACTTTTTTTAAGGGGGGAAAATCATCGAATGACTTCTCCCGTCTGGGCGAGGCACGAGGAACTGTCATACTCTTACTGACTAAAAACCACCCCGTTCCTACTCTTACACTTCGAGCCGGCGCCCCGATAACATTTTTAAGTCCCCGTGGCTTTATATCGGCACCAGCCTTATTGGGCCCCATCCGTGGTGGTCTGATGGCTCTGTGAGGCGCCGTACTGTTATGAACAAGGCCTTATTGTAAATTCTAATCTAATCAATCCTTACATTGTTGTTAACAAAGAACCATACTTATAAATTATATTCTAATCAATCCTTACATTGTTGCTAACAATGAATTACTATACTTTAAATTGCAATCTAAACAATCTTCATATTGTTGGTAACAAAGATCTATACTTTAAATTACCACCTAAACAATCGTTATATTGTTACTAACAAAGATCTAAGCACTCTTACATTGTTGTGAACAAAGCCCTATACATGTAAATTGCAATTAAAGCAATCGATACATCCTGTGGCACTTATACGCGCAAGTATAATTTATCGACTAAGGGATAACCCCCCACCACTGGCCATATAGAATAAAATATACGTTTTAGTTGTGTATAGAGTCACTCCAGAAAAAGTTATTCAACTATTAACACCGTTTTATATCACACAGTAATTATTGTAAGTCGAAAGTTGTGAAGTGAAAATAAAGAAATTATTAGCAGCACTTGTGGTGTCATTTATAAAAGGGACTCCCGGAGCGCCATCCTAACAAATTTTGGTGTCAGAAGTGGGATCCTAGGAAAATACGTGAGTACTGGGATCTATAGGTGTAGGCGTCGCGAATTTATTTCCACTCGTCTGCACCGTAACATTTGTTGGCTCCGTGGTATAGTAGTCCTATTGGCGGAGTAGTCGACGATAAGTCTTGGGCTCCTCATAAAGCCTAAGCCCGCACTGCTGCATTCCTCGTGGTTGACGTTAAGCCTCCGCTGTATAGCGTGAGCCCGCATCACGCCGAACACCTTAGCTGCCCTGTGGTCGACGGTAAGTCTCCACTTTACAGTGTGAGTCCGCATCACCGCTTCACTGCAAGGACCTATTCATCAAGGTTCTACAGACTGCTCATCAGTCACGTATTCTGGGCACACCGTGTGTGTGCAGTGCAACGTGACGAAGCGCATTGGTGAAATACGACTCCCTGGGTCATTCCAAGTGCGTGTCGCAACTTCCAGAATACTCGCGTGTGCTACGATTTTACTGTGAGTTTTTCAAAATTCATTCAGTGTTTTTAAATTAATTTGTGAAAATAATAATCGGTGCAGTGATTTTCAATTTTCAAAAAAAAAACGTTTAGTTTTACTGAAGTCATTGTTTTAATTTTAACTCATTATATTTTATTAATTTTAAATTGCAACTTTTTCAACTTTATACATTTTGTGCATATTTGTCTGATGTTCTGTAGTATTAAATAAAGTACAAAAATTAAAATGGCTGACAAAATCACTCTTTCAGTTCTCACTAAATTCATCAAGCCATACAATGGAGATCGCGAATTGTTACCCGCATTCTTAACTAATTGTGAGAATGCGATAGCCTTAGCCACTACAGAACAACAGAACGTTTTATGTAAATATGTCATTTCGCAGTTGGAAGGGAAGGCTCAAGCAGCTTGTTGTTTAAAAAGATTCAATAATTGGTCAGAGATCAAACTATTTCTTAAAACTACGTTTGGAGAGAAAAAACACTCCACTCATTTATTAGTTGATCTACAACACTGCAAACAACTTCCTTCCGAAGACGTAATGCAATTTTCAATACGTGTTGAATCTTGTTTAACTAGACTACAATCTGATATTCACTACAGCTGCGATAGTGATAAAGAACTTTTAGGTCGCCTCGCCGCTATGGAGGATTTAGCTCTTAATACATTCTTGTTAGGGTTGAACTCTAATATTGCTCATATAGTGCGGTGTAGGAACCCAAAGAAGTTATCAGAAGCGATTACACATGCTACTGAAGAAGAAAAAATATACAATTTGTCTAAACTTTCTAATCGCTCTAAACAATGCACAATATGTAATAAAAACGGTCATATTGCTTCAGAATGTTATAAAAATAAAAATAAGCATCCCAATTTATATCATTTAAATTCATCTAATTTTAATACGCAGAGTAATTTTAATAATAATTCAGTGCAAACAAATTCTAATTTCTATAATCCAAATAAATCTTGCGCATATTGTAAAAAACGTGGTCATTTAATAAATGAATGTCGTAAACTTAAAGCTAAAAATAGCTTGCGCGATGCACATCACTCTACACTATCAAGTGGTCTTGCACCGAATACGAGTCGAACAATAATCGCTCTAATGTACATCATGTCGATGCGTCTTTCGATAACATTAAAACTTTAAACTAAACAGGGTTCCGGATTCGTGTCTGCCGAAACCTTCTTATTTAAATGACACGAAAAGCTCTTCAAACTGTGTTCCTAAATTTTCCCCAACACAGGTTCGCGCAAAAAAGACTTTGAGTTCTTCAAACTGTGTTCCTAAATTTTACCCAACACAGGTTCGCGCAAATAAGACTTTGAGTTCTTCAAACTGTGTTCCTAAATTTTCCCCAACACAGGTTCGCGCAAATAAGACTTTGAGTTCTTCAAACTGTGTTCCTAAATTTTCCCCAACACAGGTTCGCGCAAATAAGACTTTCAGTTCTTCAAACTGTGTTCCTAAATTTTCCCCAACACAGGTTCGCGCAAATAAAACTTCGAGCTCTTCAAACTGTGTTCCTAAATTTTACCCAACACAGGTTCGCGCAATTAAGACTTTGAGTTCTTCAAACTGTGTTCATAAATTTTCCCCAACACAGGTTCGCGCAAATAAAACTTTGAATCCTTCACACTGTGTTTCTAAATTATATTCAACACAGGTTAATGCGTTTACAGAGACTTCTAAGTCTTTTAATAAAAAGATAAATACTAATTCAAATTTTCAAGACAGTCCCTCATCTCGTGATATATCGAGTTTTATTTCTAGGGATTGCTCACGTGAGGAAACATTTACTATTAATTATATGCACAATAAAGTTTCTCTACCTCACGTTTATTTAAAAACAAATGTTAACGATAAACCTTTGTGTTTTTTAATTGACACTGGTTCAACTATATCTATTGTAAAATTTTCTAGTTTACAAAATAAGCCAGTGCTTGGTTCCGAAATTGTAAAACTTAAAGGCTTAAGTGACAACGATTCTTATTGCCAATCTCTCGGATCCATTCAACTCAATTTTGAACATCGCGTTTCTTCAAAAAGCAAAATAACATTTGAATTTATGTTTCACGCGATTAACGATACGATCAATTTAGATTATGATGGAATTATTGGTAGTAACTTTATTCAACATTTTAAAATTGACGTTCAATATTCTACTAACACTCTTAATTTAGAAGGTTATGAAATACCTATTTGTTGTAGCAAGCCATCATACATCATACCACCACGGTCAGAAACGGTCATTGAGTGTCCAGTTTCCAATCTGTCAGATATCGATGACATAAAAGAAGGTTTAATACTAGATCATAAAATTCGTGATGGTGTATTTTTAGCAAATTGCATAGTACATTTAAAATCAAATAACAGAATAAATGTTTCTGTTCTGAATACTACCGAATCTGAAGTCGAAATAGACGACTTTCCAGTTAAACTTATACCATTTTCACCTTGCTCCTTCTAAGTCAAACGAAGCTCAATCAGAACTCATTAATCAATTAACTTCTTTAAATATTGATCGATCTGAAAAGGTTCTCGAGCAAATAAGGTGTTCCCATTTAAATTCAGAAGAAAAGAAAGCTCTGATGAAATGTCTTCTTAATTATACAGACATCTTTCATCTTGATGGCGAGCTCTTAACTTATACTGATGTAGTAAAACATTCTATAAATACTAAAGATGCAGCCCCTATACATGTAAAATCGTATCGGTTTCCAGAAATACATAAAGATGAAGTTGAGAAACAAATCAAGAAAATGCTTGATCAAAATATTATTCGCCCTTCATGTTCCCCTTGGAATGCATCAGTGTGGGTAGTACCCAAAAAATTAGACGCTTCCGGTACACAAAAATGGCGTATCGTCATAGACTATCGGCGTCTGAATGATGTCACAGTTTCTGAGGTTTATCCTCTTCCCCTCATAACAGACATCTTAGATCAACTTGGTCATTCCAAATACTATTCCACGCTTGATCTAGCGTCAGGTTTTCATCAATTATTGTTAGATCCTAAAGACACTGAAAAGACAGCATTCAGTGTCACAACCAATAGCATTTCAGGTCAATTTGAATTTACCAGAATGCCTTTCGGTCTGAAAAATGCTCCTTCCACATTTCAAAGAATGATGAATCTTGTTCTTTCAGGATTACAAGGTCTCCATTGTTATATATATTTGGATGACTGTATTATCTATTCTCATGATCTTGAATCTCACATGCGGAAGTTGCAATCTGTATTCGATAAACTCAGACAGGCAAATTTAAAATTACAGCCCGACAAGTGCGAATTTTTGCGCCGAGAAGTTGCTTATTTAGGGCATGTTATTACTGATAAGGGTGTTTCGCCTAACCCAGATAAGGTGAAGGCTATTTCTCAATTTCCAATACCGAAAACCCCAAAAGATGTAAAATCTTTTCTAGGATTGACAGGTTATTATAGGCGTTTTATTGAGAATTTCTCCCATATAACAAAGCCTCTCACATCTTTGTTAAAAAAAGATGTTAATTTTCATTGGGCTCATGAGCAACAACATGCTTTTAATACTCTAAAACAAAAGCTTATCTCAGCTCCTTTATTACAATATCCCGAGTTTTCTAAACTCTTTATAGTAACAACGGATTCTTCAAATTATGCCGTTGGTGCAGTCTTATCTCAGGGTGAGATCGGTAAAGATAAACCCATTGCATATGCGTCCCGGACTTTAAATAAACAAGAAGGGAATTACTCAACGACTGAGAAAGAGCTCCTTGCCATTCTTTTTGCCGTTAATACATTTCGACCTTATCTCTATGGTTACAAATTTAAAATTGTGACAGATCATCGTCCTTTAACATGGCTTTTTAACGCGAAAGATCCAGGCGGACGTCTATTAAGATGGCGACTAAAGCTAGAAGAATATAATTATGAAATCGTTTACAAACCCGGCAGAGTCAATAGTAACGCCGATGCACTATCTCGTTATCCCGTAAACGCTGTTACCACTCGTAGTCGTAAAAATAATTCTACCTCTTATGAGGAATATTTAAAAAAACAGGACAATAAGACTTTACCTGATTGCGATACGAAAATTGAAGAACACAACGAGAGCTTACATAAAGCAAAACAAAAGTATATCGCTTGTCCAGTCTCTTTAGATTTAGATAATTCAATGCCACATTGTGAGCAATTGTTATCAATGACTGAGAATTCTGAGAAGTATCGAGCCAGTGAACGTGAAATTAACACAGTGCAGATGCTCGATTGTAAAAATGACAAAATATTATATTTCTTATTTACTAAAGTTCATCATTTTGACGAAACAGTTACAAAATCATTTATGATCTGCTTGTCAAATTAAGAGACGAAATTGTTTTAAAAAATAATTCTCAGAAAGAATTAGCGTTGTCCGATTTTACTGAACCATTTACAAGGTTAGTTTATACAAAAATTTATAATATGATTTCATATATTTTCCACGGCACTAATATTAAAATACACATTTATAAAAATCAATTACTTTATCCTACCCCTGCTGAAATATCTAATATTCTGAAAGAAAATCATGGGACGACCATAGCTGGTCACCCCGGTGTTAAACGCATGTTAAGTAGAATTAAAGCTTCCTATTATTGGAAAGGTATGCGTCTGATATCGAAAAATTTGTCAAAAATTGTAAGATGTGCCAAGTTAATAAGCCACTGCGAGCTTCCAATAGAGCACCTATGATTATAACTTCGACAAGTTCAAAGCCGTTTGAAAGATTAGCCATTGACATTGTAGGCACTTTACCTGAAGCGGGTCTCCAAAAATTTAAATACATATTAACGCTCCAGGACGATTTAACAAAATTTTCAAACGCCTATCCAATGGTTACTTGTACCACTGATGAAATTGCACGCAATCTCATACATTTCTTTTCGTTATTCGGTTTTCCCAAAATCATACTCTCCGATCAAGGTACATCGTTTACCTCAGAATTATTTAGGCAATTAACAGAAATACTCAAAATAAAAAATCTGTTTTCTACGCCTTATCATCCACAGACAAATGGAGCACTAGAACGTAGTCATGCTACCCTTAAAGAATATTTGAGGTCATTTGTTAATGAAAACCAGGACGACTGGCATAGCTATGTCGCAACAGCGATCCTATCATACAACACAACTCCACATTGTTCTACAGAATATTCTCCTTTTGAACTTTTATACGGTTATAAGCCGACGATTCCTAGTAGTGCATATGAATCGAACAATAACATTACTTATCAGGAATACATTCGCGCTTTACAGTATCGGATGAGATACTCTCGTGAAAAAGCTATTCAAAATATGAACAAATGTAAAGAAACATCAAAAATCTATTATGATTCAACAGCACGTGAAAAATCTTATAAAACTGGTGATTTAGTTTATTTAAAATTTCATCATAGGCTTCGAAAAGCCTTATCTCCAGTATGGAAAGGACCTTATAAAATAATCAAAACGCATGGTAAAAATAACGTCACCCTTCTGGTTAACAGAAAACACATTAAATATCATGTTAACGAAATAAAACCAGCATAGTATTGTTCCAGGTATCTCGTGAACATTCTATCATCGACGTATCTAAGTTTACAGTTTGTTACTATAATAACAAGCTAATGTTTGTCATTCAAGTTCTATTAATAAATTTTATAAAGTTCAACCTCTACAAGAATTTGCCACAGCTTACTCCTCATGATACTAAGCATTGTTTAACTTATGCTTTGATTTACCCTTCTTAGCTATATGTAGCAATAACGGATGACAGATTGTCTTACACCTTTGTAGATAATATTCACGAATGTAAAACTGTTAAGAGTATTTAATGTGTCCATTGCCATAAATTTAGTCAACCATAAATAATCCTTCATGTGAATCCTAGTTATTAACAGAAGTTATCTTATCACTTCCAGAGAATTTTGAGTCTAAATTTATTTATGGTAACATAAATGTTTGCCAAAAAAAAAATTATGATAGTAAATACATATAAGGAACTTAAATAAATCAAATAGAAACCTCTAGTTTATAAGAAAACTATTTTTTGTTTTTGTTTTATTTTTATGGTATAGCTATTAAGATTAAATTTTAAATTTTATTTCTTTACTACACAAGTATATTCAAATGTAACGATTTATTTTCTTTATTTTTTTTAACTATTAAGATTCATGTTATATAAGACTTTCTAGATTTTGTTTTGTGACTTAAATGTAACTGAGTTTTATTTACAGATTAATTTTCAAATTGATGACGTCTTGTCCTTCGCTTTATTATTAAGAAAGAATATAGTAATAAAAATAAACATTTTAAATAAAGCTCAGTCTAAAGGGGGGAGATGTTATGAACAAGGCCTTATTGTAAATTCTAATCTAATCAATCCTTACATTGTTGTTAACAAAGAACCATACTTATAAATTATATTCTAATCAATCCTTACATTGTTGCTAACAATGAATTACTATACTTTAAATTGCAATCTAAACAATCTTCATATTGTTGGTAACAAAGATCTATACTTTAAATTACCACCTAAACAATCGTTATATTGTTACTAACAAAGATCTAAGCACTCTTACATTGTTGTGAACAAAGCCCTATACATGTAAATTGCAATTAAAGCAATCGATACATCCTGTGGCACTTATACGCGCAAGTATAATTTATCGACTAAGGGATAACCCCCCACCACTGGCCATATAGAATAAAATATACGTTTTAGTTGTGTATAGAGTCACTCCAGAAAAAGTTATTCAACTATTAACACCGTTTTATATCACACAGTAATTATTGTAAGTCGAAAGTTGTGAAGTGAAAATAAAGAAATTATTAGCAGCACTTGTGGTGTCATTTATAAAAGGGACTCCCGGAGCGCCATCCTAACAGTACGCACAGACATAAGACTGAGGATGTTTCTGAGTAAAAGCAAAACTAAAATCTGACTTCACACAAGTTTGTATGCTTTGTGTAATATGTACATCATAACAAAATTTAAAATAGAAATGTATCACTTAAGGTCAAGTTATGACGTATATAAAACATTATAATCAACGCAAAATTACTTATTTCATAGACCGATATAGACAACTTTCCTTCTACCTATATATTCATTGCTTCGAGACTACAATCGATGAATTTCGAACAAAGAGAATATGGGCACTTAATGCAAATATACCCACATACTCGTTAGCCTGTAGAACTCACAGTAAAACGAGGATTGTAAGCATGATAATGGATCTTCGTAGGTACCCTAGATCTATTGTGCCCCAGACTGAAAATAAAAGTCTATTGGAAAACGATACCATTTCAATAGATACTGCACTTAGATCGTTGTTATTGTATAATGAATCTTAATTGTGTGTTATTTACAAGGGGCATTTGAATAACAACATAAATAGCAATCTAATTGATTTAAAATTTATAGGAATCGAACTAAATAACATGAACTTTATAAATATTCAATAAAAAATTTGAATATGATTTTCAAGTTAATGTTAGTCATTTCGTCTTTTATTGGTTTAATATAGGTTACTGACATCAAAATATAAGATGTGCAAACTAATTGTTTCTATGACTATTCAAACACACTTGCCTTCTTTCATGTCAATATAAAATGAACTAGATATTACTATATCTAGTTCATTTTATATTGACAACCACCCGTATCGCAATAAAGAGAATTGAACACCCACACCGCCATGTCGAATATATTGGCCGTATTTCCTCACCATTTATCACTTCGTTCAAATATCTTTCGATCGTTTTCAACTAAATTGCGATGCGAAGGAATTGACAAAAATAAAAGAGGAACGACCTCCTTCAATACCACGAACTTTTATTCTATTGTGTGAACAAATTCAATATAAACATCAACAGAATGTGACGACGACGTGTTTTCTAAGAAAATAGACAGGTCTTTGTCACACCTATGTACACTTTACTTTTACAATCTTCAAAGTTTAGGTATTTAGAATTTCCTGATAAAACACAGAACTTGTACAAAAATAAAAAAAAAACATTTTGTATTCTACATTCAATTCCAACCACCAATCTTAATTCAACAATAAAATGGCCATTGTTCCAAAAAATATCTAGACACGTGCATTTGTTGCGCAACAAGATTTCATATTGTGTGGCACGGGCATTTGATGCTACTTTGTCCGCACCCCACATAAAATACGAACAAACAATTTGCACGTGCACATGTCTGGCGCCGACATTATAACAACACAGGATGTATTTTTTCTCAGGTGTTCCATGGAGCTGCTCGACTAGTGCAACCTGGACAGGCTACGAATGTGCCAACTGGTCCCCACACCGCTGTTCGAAGAGCTTTCAACGCGGATATCACCAAGGAGACGAAAAACAATGTAAGATAAATTTTTTTCTCCGATGATTTTATTTCATTGTTTTTGTCTTTCTGTGGTTTTGTATTTATATGTTTAATTTCCTAATGCAATATTAATATACAGAAATCTCTTGCCACAATGTTTGTCCTCAATGGACTCCTAAACCACTTAACCGATTATAATAAAATTCGCACACCATGTGTAGTTCGATCCAACTTGAGAGATAGGATAATTTAAATCTCAAATTGTAGTCGCAATTTTAATTTATTGCTAATTATTTGTCTGTTATTATTTGAGAGTCACAATTATCTGTTAACCCCAAATGATTCTAACAGATGTCAATACCTTTCGACTGGGTTGAGTAAGTAAGAAGCCGGGGCGGGTCGCTACTTCGCTAGTCTGTTTATATAGTAAAATAAATCATATATCTATCTACCGATCTATTTATCTCTCTGGCAGATACCCAATAATTTGTGCCAATTTCTTTGAAATATCTATTTAAATGGATACCAGAAAGTACTACTAATACTTAGACACTCAATTCTTACTTACTGTAGTTACGAAATTGTCTACCTTTAGACGCACTCGCATTTCGATTCAAGTTGTCTTCAATTTATTTGCTTTTATTTCATTGTAGAGGTAATAGAAATTCCAATGACAAATCATTAAATACTGGAATAACAAATTACATAAAATGTATAGGCCCCCGTAGTGCAAGTTGCACGTGTATCCATGTTATCAAAGGATGCTTATTACCCTGTAATTTGTTATTTGCCCTTACTTGCTTCAATGTACTTAGATTTACTTATTTTGTTTTTCATTTATCCTGTAACAGCGTAGCGTTGCTATTTCGATCCAATAAGGGGATTTAAGTATTTACGGAGGATTGTTCAGGCGCGTGTAAGGAGTTAAGAACTCTTTTTAGTTTGGCATTTTAAAGAAATAGAACGAAAAAGACTATTTCTATTGTGATTGTATTATGTTACTACTGTAGCTGTATAGCTGATACTTGCTTTGAATTATTTACTACTACGAGTAGACTGCCACGTCGGCCAAGTGGTCGTAAGTGCGACTGCCGGGGCAAGGGATTTCCGGTTCGATTCTCGGGTCGGGCAAAGTATTGCTGGGTTTTAAAAAAAATTCTCAGTAGTAGTACGAAGTCTGGAATTGTGCCCGGTATATGACAATAGGTTCACCACCCTACCACCCACCTAGTGAAAAGTGGGTGTTACATTGTATAGTGACATAATGTTCACCTCTGCCTTCCCCTTTGGGGATAAAAGGCGTGATGTTATGTTATGTTACTACTACGAGTAACATTTTTCTGCTGTCAATCTTTAATTTTGGTTTACATAATCTTTAATTATGTAAACCAAAATGTTTATTACGAATAATTTCATTAAAATTATGACAATATAAAGCAAGGAAATATGCCTTGCATGCCGCACTTTACTTAGCTTTTATAGGAAGTCGTAAATTTTAACAAGGAATGTCATAAAACTGCTTAAGGTAGGAATTCAAAAGTATCTACGTCTACTTGATTAATCGAATATTTAGACAAGTAGGTACAAGTACTGACTGAGATGTCTCAGATTCCATTATAGAGACGACAAAGTTTTTGATATATCGTTGTTACTTCCCATATAACATAGTAGACAAAAATGTCATTTTACTATGCTATGCCATTTTATGATAACATTATGTCTATCTTTTGTCATACAGATGGACCATTATGCTGCTTACTCTGGTGTTCAGTACTCGCCGCTGGATATGGCGGAGTATGTCTTCTGGACTGGTGATGAACGAGGAGTCACCACTGCTATTGAAACCTTCCTCCAGGAGGGAATGGTGAGTTTCATTAATTATTTAGATGTCTTTAAAGAATAGGCAGATATAAATACACCGTGGTCCGCGTTGTAATACGCACATGGATACATATGGGGTACATTGAAAATACAGTATAATGCTGAAGTATATTGATTAAATCAAAATTAGGCGATCGTCGGCTCGTTTGCCTTTTATTCCATAAAAAAAGTCAGTATATAAGTCAGTGTAAGTATAATATTAAAAGAAAAACTACTAGATTACAAGCAAGCATGTATAATATTATTTTAATGACATATTTACACCAGTGTCATTTTTTCAGATGACAAAGGAAGATGCAATTGCCTTCCTACAGGAGATCAAATTCAACATTGATTACTTGCGAGCACACTACTCTCAGAACTTGAAGGCGGCTGAGGAAAGTGCACAGCAGGAGAAATTAAGGAACATGCTGATTGAACAGGCTGAGGCAAAGGTAAATGGCGACTTTAATAAAAACAAACTTTAATAAATAAAATTGTACAAAGTACTTTGAACCGATGAACATGCATGAAAAGACTTATGACTGCTGATGAAGCGAAACATCTATGTAAGAAGAGTCAGCTATGCTATGTAAGAAGGGAAGAGAAAACAGCTATGTAAGAGTCTCGGCCTATCCCCATGGGAGATAGACGGCAGGTTATGTATGTATGTATGTAAGTTTTTTAGAGTAGTACCTACAGTTAGCCATTTTATTTATCACTATTGACTGCATGAGAGATGAGAAGATGCATAGGATACCTATTTCAGAATTACTCCTTGACACCAGAAAAAGTCAATGGGTAAAAGTGAGATAACATAATTACCTATGTTATAGTAGATTATAATGAAATCGTAACCAAATGTAAACAGCGTTGGGTTTAGGTTGTACAAATAAATACATTTACAACTTTCATTGTGTATAAGTAGAAATTATTATGGGTAAATAATTGTAAGGATATGTCTTTCTGACACGTTTACGACTACCTTAAGGTCAAAATCCAATGTCATGTTTCGTACAAAATTTACTTAAATCAATTCCAATTCTTTTTTCATATTTTCTTCTTATATTATAGTTTTTGTGTCAAACGTAAGGCTGCCCTATTCATACTTCCAGGATGTAAGGACACTCTGTATATACCTGCCGTAAAAAGACGTATGTAATAAACGGTTGAACTTAGAACGAAATCCAAAAACAAACAAGCGCTAAAAATATTCTATCTATTTATTATTCGGACCGTTCCTTTTTTAGAAGACAAAGTTTGTATACTTAAAATTCCCTCGATACCTTACTAAAGCCGTAAAAAGTTGAGCAATCTTTAATTAAAATGACTTCCTCCAAAGAAAAGAGTCCGTGTTTTATGTATTTTCTAAATCAATGCTATTCGTTGTCTCTCGGATGCATTCTGAAGTCTCATGACCCAACTTTCATCTGAAGCTAATGGAACATGTCTCATTTGAAGATGAGGCACGTGTCTGTCTATAGGGTACACAATACAGGAGGCGTATTACGATTCTCCTAAACAAGATTTCGTTATAGTGTAAAATAATTTAAATTTCTAACCCTACTCTCTAACATAGTTTAACACATAAATATGTAGAACTCGAACCAATAGAATGGAAAATTAAAGTGAATATTCGTTCGATAACAAAATTTCGTTTCAGAGAATTATATAGTAGAGGCCTGTTTTGATCCGATCTCTGTTGACTTTAAAGTCACTTTGCTGTCGTCACGTGTTTGAGTCGATTCGTAACAAACAAGTTATTGGGCTTCGTCTGCCAAACACCCGAATTGTTGCGGTAACAAAGTTTTCCCCGGTTTGGGAAAGTTCGTTACCTACTCGGTAAATCAGAGTACCTACTTGCGTTCATTTTGAGGTGACTTTGTGTATCGTTAAATTTTAGTCAGTTTATATCTGTAATTATAGGTACTATATATAGTAATGAAATGTTACTACTACGTTTTGTATTATAAAGATATTAAAATGATTCAACTGCAGAATTCAAATCAAACACCATTTGAAAATTAGTCTTAAAACTAAAGAGGCGACTGAACTATTTTACTCGCAAACAATATTCGTTAATACATATAAACGATCATTATTTTCACGTAAAACCCATTAGATTACACATAAATCAGGTCATTTATTGAACTATACCGAGTAAACTTGTTTTTATTACTCTCTGATTAAAATGAATGGCGTAAATGTTATTGTGCGTTTTATTAAAACACGGCTACATAGTCGGGGTGACACGAGCCACGTTTATTTATAGCCTTAAGCTCAAAAAGTGTAATTAAATGTCACTCAGCGCTTTGCGGTAGAACAAAGTGCCGAGAAAAACGACGAAAAAGGCCACAACCGTGATAAAAGTTATGTGGGTGAATCCCTCTCTGGAATACTTAGTACAAAGCAAATTGTTTCTAAATTACAATAGACTTATTGAATACGATACTCTAGTATTATAACATTTTATATATCAAAATTAATTAAAGTTATTTTTAAAGTAATTTTCTCTCACTCATTTTCGTAGCAGTCGTAGCACTGTACTACGAAAGTACTACGACGCGTAGCACCTGGCTACGAGGTGTTAACGGTGTATAAATTTCTTCGGAATCAAAAATGATATTAATTATTCGATTTTTCAAATGGTATTATTAATATAATTAGTATTATTTGTATAATTTCATTTTTTTTAATAGGCTGATCTGTATTATATCATAACAACTATAATATATTCTTATTATCAGACCAGAACGCCATATTCTGTCATAAACTTTTGTCATCGGAATTAACGGTAAAATTAACTAGCATCCAATAAAGGAGTTCATTTAGTTCTCACGTCGTTCCAGTACGTAATACTCGGTTTTATGTATCTATTAGACCCATGTGTCACATTGGTTATTCGCTGAGTGTTAATGAATCTTTAGTGTTCATAAAATTGTTTGTGATATCGTAAAGTATATAAATAGACTTATGTTGTTTACATGTTTATAATAATATGCTCAGTAATCAACATAGATTATGTAACGACAACATGTTGATACATTATGTATTTTGTTTATGTCGGTACCTTTTTAGACTGTTTTGTTAGTTTAGTGATCGAAGTTGCAACACGTGACGACATCAGAGAACCTATTAGAGTTACAAACTTAGACAACTTACTTAGTTTACTTGCTTAACTAAGCAGTACTGCTTAGCTTAGCAAGTTAAGCAATGGACCTTTTTAAACAAAAGATTGTGTGAATTCTGAATATCATTATAAATAGCTCTACTAGTTTCGAACCACAGAGAGGTTCTTCCTCATGAGCAGCGTGCGCGGTCGCGGCGACGTCGCGCAGCTCACTGACACAGTATAAATATATACAGTAGGTTATCTAAGGCCGCCCGCCGAGTTATTAGCCTACTCTTGCGTTGATCCCCAGGGTTGTCACTTTTACTTTTAGTTAATATTTTCGAACAAGCAGCACTTGATCTAAATTTATGAAATGAAAAGCATATTATGATTGAATATTTTATCAATTTATAAATTTAGTAAAAATAAAAAGCTTATAAAAAGATTATTAACTTCTTAAAATAAACTTTAGCTCTATACATAATATTCAGAAAGTAAATTTGGGAATACATTTATATGGAATAATGCGACACGGCTAAGCTCTTAACAAATCAGATAAACTGTGAAATAAACAATACAATACCACATTTTCTTATAATATTTAGGTAAGTATAGTAGGTAATTACATTTCTGGTTGAGTAGGAACTATGAAGAATGATAAGAGTAAGAATAAGTAAGTAGGTATCTCATCATCAAGTACCTACAAATTATATTATGCTAGAAAAAGTGACTAGCTTACCTTTCCTGTTCAATAGGTAATCTGAACAGAGACAGTTCTGGAATCGATTAATTATTAAGACACCCAAACACACAGCAATACGTTCTTCTACGGTTATCAGACATTTTTTATTTCATTTAACAGTGCCGAAAAGTGATGCGCGCGCGAACCTCGTGCAGTGTTAGCCCTGCCTGGCGCACTGAGAAACGGGTCGAGATTTTGTTAAAGTGTGCGTGCGTCGACGCATAGATACTATGGCGCACACATATAAGCCGCGCGCGGAGCATTTGTATGAAGATAACCTACTTTGTTCTTTATACTATGTCACTGAGGAAGAACCCCTCTGTGGTTCGAAACTAGTAGAGCTTTTCTCAGTATATTCACATGAGTAACCCGCGTTTTTATTTAATTTAGTATGTCTCACGATAGTTATTATAAAAAATATATCATTATAAACAGTTAGGTATGAAGAGATCATACACCAACAGTCATTGTGTGACTTTGTTTTTAGTTTTAGATATTCTCCTTATAGGATTACCTATAAGGGAAAATTTGTTACATTAGATTTTTATCACGTATCTTGTTTTAATTCCAGGAGTACCAGTACCGTAGCCCAGCGCTCCAGTCGTTCCCATTCGGTAGCAGCCCTGACATCATTCGATCAATCGCCAACAAGAACTGGGAGTTAAGCAACAACCTGTCGCCCGTGCCAGCCCTACCCGTCAGCAGTGAACTGAGGCCTGAAGCCATCAAGAGGACTTACGATCCTATGTTGACTAATAGCATGCGTGAGTACATATGCTTATTAACAAAGAAGCTGAATAAAAGTATGGATGTGAAAGATAAACCGAATAGGAAATGTGAGGTGATGATTGGGTACTAAATGGTAGGGAGAATGAACAGTATTATGGATTATCCGCCGTTATTAACATGTTTACCACCGGCGTAAGGCACTGGTTGCATACCTACATACGTTAGCGGAGGATTTGCCTTCAATAGTTGACTGTCGACAGTCAGGGGTTTAAGTAGGCAAATTTGATAAAGATAGGAAGAAGAGTACACATACCTACAACTGTTTAATACATTAATACAGTATTTTTTTTATGCTCTAAACATCTAATATACAGTAATTATGTTTGGTTTAGTACTTACATATACACGATTCACTTACATAAAATATCTCTTAAGAAAAGTTTTAAAAAGTCGTTCTCATAAATTTTCTGTTCTTGCGTATCTAAGCGATTCGATTTTCGAGTGTACAAAGTTATAGTTAAGTTCCTTATCATGAGATGATATTTTCCGTTTTAATTATTGTCAATTGTATTGAGCGTCCTAAATATCTACTTACATATTTTTAGTTAACACAATATAGGTATTGTGTTAACTAAAAATATGTAAGTCAACAATCAATATATTTTTCAGTGCCTGGGGTACCAGAGTACGAGCGTGAACCCCAGGCTTTCCCTGATGAAGAATATGAAGAGATTATGGACAAACTGAAGCCTACAAACATTCCTTACAATGAATACACGCTTGAGGAGATTATCTATCAACTGGCTAAGGTAACTATTGCTTACATTTTTATAGCTGACTGATTGAAAGTCGGATCAACCTCTACAAACATGATCTATGTGTGTGAAACACCAAACAAAGATAGAACAGGAAAATAAATTGGATTATATAAGTAGTTGATTACATAATATGTTTGCTTGCAGAGCCTGAAATAACTTTTCAAGCGTTTGAATTCGTAATATTAAGATTGAAATTAAATAGCCTTTGCAATCTATGCAATTTGCACCTTTTTAAGCATCAAAACTAACATGGCTCCATAATTTCCAGATGATGTTTTCCCAGTCCTTGTCCCGAGACCCGGCTTCAGCTCGATCAGCCACACGACGCTTCATGTCTTTCCTAGAAGTTCAGGCAGAAAGGGGACAACTATCGCGCACCATTGAGAAGAAAGTGCTTGGTATGTTTATAATGAGTCCAGATACGTATAATGCGAAGATAGCTCCTAGTCGGCCTATTTCTAAGTTCTAACCATACCATAAAGTCCCATAATAATCAATTTCTTTGTAATTTCAGTATAAAATATTGAAAGACTTTTACTATAAAGTGGAAGAAGGTGGTTTTATTAAGGCTTATACTTAATTAATTCACCCATTAAAAGTTCTATGCCCCCTATTCACAAAATGTTTAAACTTTGGAATCGTAAAGTGGAAATATTTCAGTTACACTGTGTGGTTATTTTCTACTGTCTTGATAAGTAAGATATTTTAAAAGCTTGCTTGGTTATAACATTCCCTTTTCATGTTACAGACTTGATGATTGCGGCTCTGACGGACACAATAAGCGACCATCCAGAACTGCTGTCCTCACGCGACTCCATGGCACCCAATACACCCAATAGGCAAACATTTTATCCATTTACTTTAGAATAAAGCCGTAGTGGACATACACATTAGCACACACGAGAAAAATGCAAAAATCCGCGACGAAGTAAGTCCCTAATAAAAGCGATTTACAGCCAGCAGCTGTAGCCAAATGCCATTTAGCGCTTGTCTACTTGTAGAGTAGAAAACTAAATTATATGGAACTAGCTTTTACCCGCGGCTTCACTCGCGTCACAAAAGGATAATAAGTAGCCTATATGACATATATTAATACATACAGCGCCATCTATACCAATACTTTTGTTTTCCCTCGAGAAATCAAATTTTTCCGGAATAAAAAGTACCCTATTATTTAATCCAGACTTCTAACTTTATGTCTGCAAAAATTCTAAGCAATCGGTTTAGTAGTTACGACGTGAAAGTGGAACAAACAAACAAACAAACAAACTCACTTTCCAATTTATAATATTAGTAAGGAAGTAAGGATTGACGTAAATTTTGACACTTGTCCGTGTCATCCCCATACATTTAGTTTTCTACTCTCTCTGTAGACAAGCGCTAAAGTAGCATTTGGCTAAAAGCACAGTATTCGATAATCTATCTATCTGTAAATTTGCTTACCTACTAGAAATAGAATTTCGACATATTTTTAAGGATCATAATGTCAAAATTATATATGTATAGTAAGTAAATCTACATATATGTAGGTTATTTAAACTGGCATTTATATTACAGCAATCGTTTATCAATAAGTTACAAGATTTGCTGTTTGAAGGCATACATAACATAACTTCACGCCAAAAGGCGTACCCCTTCCTACCCCAGAGAGAGGCAGAGGTGCAAATTACGGCACTTAATGCCACTGTTCAATGTAAAACCCACTTTCCACTATTTTATGTTATGAGTCCCATGTAATAGGTGTTGAGCCTATTGCCATATACCGGGCACATTTCGAGACTGTGCTACTACTGAGATTTAATGAAAAACCCAGTAATACTTTGCCCGACCCGGGAATCGAACCCGAGACCCCTTGCCGGGCAGTCGCACTTGCGACCACTCTGCCAACGAGGCAGTCAACATTTATTTGAAAACAAATGTACCTAAATAATAATACTGATAAGAAATTATTAAAACTATTGAATATTGTCTATGAAAAGTATGAAAATCAGTACAACACTATACATATTCGTGAAGTTGTAAACCAGAGTGATTTCAATAGAATTCAGGAAACCCATTTTATCTTTATTTGTTTGTGTAGTTTAAATTTACCTAATCCTAAAACACGTAGTTGCACTATTATTTCACATTCAGTATAACCTTTTTAAATATACCAGGATTTAAATTATTAAAGTATTTAATTTTATTTTCAGTCTAATGGGACGTTTCTACGAAACCAGAGCAGCCAAACCGAACCTTTCCCGAGAAATACTTACAACATACAAGAATGAGCTTCTAAAACCACAACCGCTGCATACGTTTAATTATCAAGAGACAATGTAAAGTGTATACCTAATTATCTACAAATAATTACGAATATATGACACTTTTCGCAGTGATATATATATTTTACAAGAACAACTTTACTTAACTAAAGAATAACTTTTACTTATTCTTTTTGGCAAAATTTTATAATAAGTACATACACATCATTCGATAAAAATACACGGTATTTTTATATCTGTGTGTTACGTGTGTGCGGTATAAACAAATTGTAACTACCGACATAAAATATTAGGAAGCATGCCATCTAGTGGTGATTTCCTATAAACTGCCGTAAAATATGGCGTCCAAAAATAAACAAAAACATTAAGTTTCATAGCTTTTGTACGCAGTGTCATATCTTCATAATTACAATAACGTAGTACCTAATTATTTATTCTATAATTATTGTAGAGATGTTTCTTAGATAATTAATTATTGTCCAATATTATTCTCCCTTCAATCTCCTTGCATATTCATGTTAACTTAAAAAAAAACAGTAATTAAAAAGAAAACTTGATCTCTAATACTTTTAAAAGGAGCCAATGTTGTTTTAAAGTTAGTATTATAACCTTTAAGTGTTAAGGTAGGTAAGTAATGTGAAATAAATTTTATGGAATTTCAATCCCAACTTTGGAAAATTCTCTATTTCAGGTTGACTAAAAGTTGACCGAAAATTATTAGGTAAGGGTGTAAGACCATTAAATGTCATAATATAAGGAGAGAGAGGCCTATAATCGGCAGAGAATGTAAACCCGAGGATAATCTCTACCTTCCCTTCATGCCAGTCTAAAAGACTATTTTGAGTTACGTAGAATCGCGTCTAAATCCCTTATTGTATACCCCAAGAGACTTATTACAGTATCATAAATATAAAATCAATTAAATTATACAATCTAAGTACCTACATTATAAAGGCAAAATATCTGTTAGCTTTGCGTGTAAGAAATTCTCGTTTAGCTTTGTTTAGTAGATGAATATAAGTGCTAAATGTAAGATAATATTGAAATATATTTAAATAGTTAGTATAATATTTCTTCATATTTTTCTACAAAATATTCTTCACCTTTCGTCGCCACGCTACGTACGGTATTGCTCAGTACCTATTCTACAGGATTGTACGTCTCAACATAACGACAAAAATCATTCGTAATTTGAAAATTGTATTAACCTTATTGTAAGGACTTAAGGTTCAAAATCTATAACGAAATTCACGAGTTAGCTACTAAAATTTTGTTATAAATATCGGGACTGCTGGCCATTTATAAAATTATCCCAACATTAAAAAGCACTTGTTATCATTGCTGTTGCAATTCTATGATAATTATAAACAAGCGTGGTGATGAAATGGTATTAATCATAATGTGCAATTTTGTGTTCTAAAGGAGAAAATGAGCTTTAGTAAATACTGCACCAAAAACCACAGTAAATGCATATCAGTAACATATCCAATTATAAATCATTTGATCAAATTTTAAACTGCCGTACAAATTAGTACAAAGCAGAAAATACTATAATTATGATGCATTTTATTATGTCGTTTGGTAAATTAGGTAGGTATTGAATTATACAGGCATCATTAAAACATCATAGATAGCAGGTTCTTCGACATTTTAGTTGGATACGGCAAACACAAAATTGCACATTGAATAAAGAAAATCTTTAAACTTTCAGCTACATACCAAATCTTATATGTATAAGTGAATGTATGTATAGTTTAGAATTGTGACATTCTATTCAAAAATCACAAAAACACGTTATATAAATGTAAGACTTACATTATATTCAGCATTGTCGGTATATTAGTGGTTAGCAAAATTTATTATATTTATATTATTCTTTGAAATATATTGTGGATTTAATAAAAAATGTTTTAATGTCATCATGCATCATTATTTGCTACCCTTTAAATAGTTCAGAACACTTTTAATCGAAAAGAAGTTAAAATTACAACAAGGACAGTAAGTTATGACTTAATTTATTATGTTTTCGGCTTACTCAGGTAACTATTTGACGAAGAACTAGACTAGTTTCAAGATATTCTAGAGGCTCATATTCATGAGCACCATTCCGCGACGCGGCGACTGTCGCGCTTTTACCAACTGGCTGATGTCTTAGTATTAATAAGATAAGGTATCTACCTAAATTTCTATCTGTGAAATTAGAAAGTAAAAACATCCAGTTGAGGAGTCTGAAATGTATATTTATGCATGAATATCATCATTCCGCTAACAATACCTTTGAGAGAATAAATATTAAATGGTACACAAGATAATGTAAAATGTAAGTACTATGGTATAGGTATACATTGAATAATTCGTTTTACAATAATACGCCATAATAATTGACAACTACATCAACCTACAAAATCCTGTATCAAAGTGTAAATCTCACTGAGTACTTTAAGTCTAGGGCTAAAAATATCGCAGTTATTTAAATAACTTCAAGACAATAATTATCCACTTTATATTATACACCAAAGAAATCAAATTCAAACATACATTGTATGTCAGATAATGCCTACTATAATGAAAACGGATCAGCACTTTGTTTTATTTTCTCACATTATTATTGTATTTTATTTACATTTGTTAATGAAGCGAAAGAGGTGTGTATGAATCGTATCAATTGGCATTCCTAAGTCTGCCTACCCCTATGGGAGACAAGCGTGAGGTTATGTATGTATGTATGTATTATTCTATTTTCATATATTATTAGATAGCAGTAGTAATTATTTTTGGCACATTCACAAGCACAAGTTTTAAACAAGACTAGTTGAATACCAAATTAGAAGTCTATTATTTAAAATAATACATTTATAGTACACTAAACCGTATCATGAACCAATATGTTCTGAATAAATACAATTATTGAATTAAAAGTTACTATTGTGCGGAATGCAGCAGCTATTTTCACTATTATCATTTCACTGTGAGCATACAAAATTGTTACAAAAATATGTCAGTCTAAGACTACCTAGAACTAATGGGACCCTGGTAAGGGTAGCAAGACTTTTCTGACAAACCATTTCCATAATTGGAATACCCTGCAGTAATTCAACCCTCAATACATTAACGATTATAACACTATTTTTGCATTTAAGGTCAATCGAAGAAACGTTTTTTTTTTTCTTATTTGGATACTATGATGGATCATGTCGCCCATAAGCAAACTATTCACTCGGGTGTTTGTAGATCATGAGCAGTTTTAAATACTTAATTTCCAGTGAAAACTAAATCAATAGTGAAATATGATACAAAATCCCTCCATAGAAGAATAGTGTTGATAATCTTAATAAAAATGCAACCATTTAATCTGAATTCTCTTCTTGCTCCTCCCCACTAGGGCCCTCATAAAACTAATATAAACTGGACAAAGGAGGAAACGCATTCTGCTTGCTTACTACCACCTTCTTGTGTTGATATGAGATATATCCTTTAATTTTTCCATCATAAATCAAATTCGCAACAATGCATTGAGTTTCATCAGCATCTACATCATCATGGCCCATCAGTTGTAAAGCAGCCTGAAAGCTAGCTATTTCAATTTGATGACTATTTTCAGCTAAATAGACCTTTCTGAACAAATTTCTATATGCGGTGATCTTTAATTTTTCAACAATTAAGTATATACCAGCACTAATAAAGAAGCTTTCATGTTCTTCCATCACTTGGTCTATTCCTCTCAAATCACCTTTCTTCACAGCAGATACCAGGTCCCAAAATTGCATTAAGTCATATTTCTGCAGCAACTGTATGGATGGCATGAAACCTAGTAGCATTTTTACTGGTACTAAGTAGGTGAGAATGAGTCTTTTATTTTTAATACTTTGTCTATGACAATTGTGGAATGCAAATGACAGATAATCATCAGCGGATCTATAATCTGAATCGAACATAGCTTTGCGACCTACAAAGTATCTGTAGGTGATTTGCTGCGCCAATGGAAACTGATCTTTGAATGGTGATGAATCAATAGCTCTTATCAATGGTTTGCAAAGATGTAGCTTATTAATCCTGAAATACACTTTGAGGAGTTGGTTGACCAGAGTCAGCATTCCTAATCTCTTGGTGTCAGCATCAGATGAGCGGTTGTCTGCAGCACAGACCCTGAAGCATGCTAATAAGCTTTCTGCAGCCTTTTCAAGGATCTTTCCATTGCTTTGAACTGAAAAATCATCATTGTATGTTAGATGAAGTTAGATATATTTTATAAGTTGATGAAAACAAGAAGATTAGTAAACTAGATATACATTATTTATTTGAACAGTACATACGGTAAGTAGCTTCAGCTTTTTGTGCAACAAGTCTTAGGTCCAAGCAGACTGTGTACATTACAGGTAGGCCCCAATTGACTTCCTTCTGATTTTGCAACAGTTTTACGACGCAGGCCACACAGGCACTCTGATGCTCGAAAGCCTCCATAAAATCCCTTAAATATAGTGACTGTGAATGTGTAATAATTGGGTTATTCAATGCAGTATAAATAATGTTCAATAGTCAAAATAAGTACGAAGGCATGTTTTGACGCAGGGAAACAAAATTTTAAAGGATAAAGAAATGCTGAGTGAGAATATACTTTCATTGTATTGTTGGAACACCTTATTTAGAAATGAACAATTCACATTCGGCTAATTAGATCGGTATGTCTGGTTCAGCAAGAGTATAAAAAATTATTTATTTACAAACCTTAACACATAGCAGATGACTGATTACAATTTCGTCCAGTGGAGCCACACAGTTCCCTTCCACGAGTGTGGCAATGTCACTTGATCGCAGGTTCCTGTTTCCTACATGTTCGTCACGAAGCGACAGTAAACGAGCCAGGAAATTTCCCTGAGAGGTTCTATACATGCGCTCGATCAGTTGTATGTATTGGTTCAGACTACCGGTGGACGACATATTGAATTGTTATTATCAAACGATTACTGTATCATAGTTAATTTATACAAGCAGTCAAAATGAGTTGTGTCTTCACTTCTATTAATTTCAACGATCAGCAATTTTCTTTTCTTTAAAATATAAAAGAAAATTCAATAATAATGACACTGAACAACAGACAAGACAATTCAGATCGGAAATTCAGAAATTGCAAATTTGACATTTGACGTTAATGTCAAAATTGACATAGCGCCCTGTATCCACAGAGAGTGTATTTTTTTTATTATGTATGCGTAAGGGCAAAATGTAGATTAAATACAGCGTATACATGGGTGAGCTTGTTTATTAATTATACCGTCATTAGAAGGCCAATTTATAGGATATACAGGGTTACAGGTTAAGTTGACCTTTTTTTTTTAGCCCCGGCGCGACTCCGAATCGGCATCGGCCCTGGCGAGCGTACGCTCGGGTCTGTTTCTGGTCGGACGAGGAGTCACCCATGCTCGCCGTTCGCAGGTACGGTTACGGTGGCCGGAGATCGTCCCGCGATCTCCGACGCCCGGTGTGTCCTTCGCGATGGCTGGGTTGCGAGGAGGCAGCGCTTCGATACCTCACGCGTCCCGCCTCCTCCTTAGCTAGCATGACTGCTTCGCAAAAGGAGGAGACGGCATCCCAGTCCCCCTCGCTCCGTATCATGGCCTGCACTAGGCCCGGACGCGAGAGGTCGCCATCGCCGATCGCTTCCCTGAGGGCACGGCGGTGCTCAGCCCACGCAGGGCATTCCGCTACGGTGTGTTCCACCGTGTCCTCAGGGCGGTCCTCGCAGTGATGACACCCGGGCGTTTCCTCCCGCCCCATCAGGCAAGGTTAAGTTGACCTATTCCCCTTAAGAGCGTGTAGGTTAATAACTGCTTACGAGGCTGGTAACTAGTTTCGTGGATAAAAATATAACGATTATTTTACGTAGGTACGCCGTTATCACGATCGTATGAGACGACACTAACAAACCGGCGTAACCGTAAGCGTTTTACATAACACACCTGCAGCCATAATTAGACGTAACGTCTTTTGAGCGTAATCAGTTATAGGTACGTAGTTTCGTGTTATTATAAGTACTACATACGTATACGAAACGACTCGCTAGGATTAAGTGAGAAGAGAATTAAAGGTCTATATAAATTTTTTTATTACCTGTTAATAAAAAAATTACATAGACCTTACTATTCTCTAGCGTTTTTTTTCGCTTATATTGCAAACGCCGGCTGTACCCTACGAGTTATGGTATGGTATATGTCTATCTATTAGGGATAACTTGGGATAACCCACCATAACCATTTTTTATCCTTTACTATCAATGGTTATTTAAGAAGCGATTTTAAACAATTTTCAAAGTCAAAGTCAAAGCATTTATTTCAATAAAACCATAGTTTGGTACTTTTAAAACGTCAACAAATACAAAATAAATAATAGTCTGTCAGTCAGTCTGTCAGTGAAACTAGGTGAAGCTAGGTGCTCATTCCAAAAAGTAGATTCGAATGGAGAAGAACGAGCAAGAAACTCCATTCGTTACTCTTTTTTAAAAAGTATGTTCTACAATGTCTCTGAGGTCTTAGTACGAGTTTGTTTTACGTTTAAAGTAATCGTAACGAGTACGCGTTCGGCGCTGTGATTGGCCGGCTAAAATGAACCAACCAATCAGATTGCCGAACGCGTACTCGTTTCGAATACTTTAAACGTAAATCAAACTTGTACTAAGCGTTCTGATACATATTTCAATACTGTACGCATATGTAAGAACAATGCAAAGACACGCTTGACGCATTATACTAATAACTTAACCTTTTGAATGCACCGATATGAGACACAATAGAAAATACATTATGTCTCGCGTGGATCTACATCTTAGACACACAAAAGGTTAATCAATCAATAGCATTGAGTTTGCAGAATCAAGTCTTTGATAAAAACATTAATGCGGTTATTCATTATGTATATTATTATGGTGCTCTGTTTTTGCATACCTTCATGGGATAAGTGAAACTTATTATTAAAAATACCTTCCCATGAAATATTATGTAAATTCGCACTTGAACGGTTGCGTCGATAATGTCAGAGAATACTTATAAGTTATTATAAATCCAATAGCTACGAGAAAGGTCATATTCGACATGCGATTAGTTTAGCGTTTACTGCTAAACGTTTCACGTAGGTACCAAGGAGTTAATAAAATTAAAAACAAATAAAAATCTTAAAGTCCAACATGGTGCTCACATATGCATACTGACAATCCATAGAATTAGTGCTTCTATACAAGAAAAGGAAACTCTTCTTTCTGTGAATGTGATAATAGGCATGCTACACCGCAGCTTCATACAGCAGGCCAGACCCTGACCCATTTCATAAAAAAAAACCTGTTTAGAATAATGATAATTTTATTAAATTTCCAATAAAAACTTAAATAATATTAAAATTAACTATTACTAAATCTATATACAGGGTGTCCAAGAACCTGGCGTCCAACTGGATTCCCACGATGCCCCAAGTTCTAACAGTACTCAGAAAAATATTTTAAAAAATCCACCCCATGTACCTACTTACAGAATTATACTGATTTAAAAAAAAAGGGGAAATGAGCACCCTGTGACATACTTTTGAATGCTGTGACTGCTAATGCTGATAATTTCGATATTTCTTGGAGGTTTTGTAATCTAGGGTATTGCTGTGTCTAAATAGAATGTAAAAATAAAGTACTTATTGTACCATTTTAAAATAAAATATTATTTTAACTAAAGGTGATATGGAAAACTATTGAATTTCGCAACTTTGACCGACTGTAGTGTAAAAAAAATGTACCAAAATAGTATGGCAAGTGACGTCAAATTTTGACACGTTTATTCCTCTTTTTAAAAAGATATAATACTTACACATTAATTTGAAAAAAAAAAATTGATAATATTTTTACTCAACAACCCAATTTTTACGAAGTGCCTACCTACTAACGGTAACTGTCGGACCCTTTCTTATCTTAGAAACTGTTATGTTACTACTATTATTTACTTCGGTTCCAAGAGTGAGCAAGAAGGAAATACACACAGGTAGATGGGTTCCCAGTAGAATAAAAGCAAAGAATGTTAGTTTAAAGATATTTTATTACAATAAATGTTCAAAATGTTGACCACCCGCGGCAATACAAGCTCTCACTCTCCTTAAAAAGGACCGCTTTATGTTTCGCGAGTAACTTTTTTGACGTATCACCTGCACTGCTTGTGTCGATATGTTTTCATTCAGCAGTAATCGATTGTTCACATTATTCCAATGCTTTCTGAGTGCATTATGTCTTTGTTTCTCAGGGGGAATATAAGCAGCTGTAATTAAAAGTAATCATTAGTACTCATTAGTATTCTATTCATATCCTAAAATTATTTTATGCTATAATGGAGTTTTCGCTAATACTAGACTACATAAGTCAGCAACTTTTTTAATATTCGATGGGCCACAGGTTAGGCCACTTTCTTGCCTGGTGGCCAAAATTTTAATGTTGTTATTATTTGTCAGGATAAAAATTATGTTATTATTACCCTTGATCAGTCGTTTCCCCATAAGGTAATTGTTCATAGTCTCAGCAACAATTTGTCCCACAGCAGGTTCTTTGAACTCGACAAATGCGAAACCTTTAGAGTTGCCGGTCCGCTTTGATCTGATCACTCTGACGTTTGTGACAACACCAAATTTCTTGAAATATTCTGTCATTTGATGCTGAAATAATAATTTACAAACATTTAATTTGTAAGAGTTAAAAAATATTATGCAATGCACATATTGTTTCCTACTTTAAAGCAAATACTATGATTATGTACTGTAGTATGTATGTTTGAATATTCAAAATAACCTCATAAAATCCATGTGAAATATGTGCTAGGTACACGAGAGACAAAAAAAATTTGGTTATAATAACGTATCCTATGTCGGTCTCCTGGCTCTAAGCCCTACCAATTTTCAGCCAAATCTATTCTGCCAATCTTGAGTTATAAGTGGTGTAACTAACACGACTTTCTTATATATATAAATACCAAATTTTTTTTTTACTTTTTTCCGAAAATCACGAACGGGGCCGGGAAAAATGGGATGGTACGCGTACGAAGTCGCGGGCAGAAGCTAGTTAATAATAAAATATATACAACTTAAGATTAAAATTATATAAAAGAAAAACAAAAACAATTATTTACCTGTTTAGTGTTTTCTTACGTTATAAATAACCGAGTATCCGTTTTTGACTACTTTGTGATGTCTGTTTCTGTCACTGTCATTAGTGTCACCATCCCTTGTCAGTGCTGTCTTGTCACACGTGGGTTATTGAACTGAAATATTAAGGCGGTGAAGGCGAGGTGTTTTGTATTTGCTAGTAAATTTTGTGAATAGTTTAAGATTTATAATGGAGGAAAACGTAGCATTAGACTCGACGAAACAAAAGAAATTTGTAAAATCAATTAGAGGCATTAAAAAGTTGATTAAGGTAACATTTTTTTTATTTATATCATTGAAGAGGGGTTATAAGAAGCAACATTTTCTGATATCTTATTGTAATTTTTACAGAAAAATGAAAAGAAGGCAGAACCTCAGAAAAAGGATGAAAAGGCAGGGCCGACTCAGCCGGCCAAACCTTTTAGTATGAGACTGAAAGGTGGCAAAGTAAACAAAAATAAAAAGAAGCGCAAGCAGAGGGGTCTCGTGTACCTAGCACATATTCCACATGGATTTTATGAGGTTATTTTGAATATTCAAACAAACATACTACAGTACATAATCATAGTATTTGCTTTAAAGTATGAAACAATATGTGCATTGCATAATATTTTTTAACTCTTACAAATTAAATGTTTGTAAATTATTATTTCAGCATCAAATGACAGAATATTTCAAGCAATTTGGTGTTGTCACAAACGTCAGAGTGATCAGATCAAAGCGGACCGGCAACTCTAAAGGTTTCGCATTTGTCGAGTTCAAAGAACCTGCTGTAGGACAAATTGTTGCTGAGACTATGAACAATTACCTTATGGGGAAACGACTGATCAAGGGTAATAATAACATAATTTTTATCCTGACAAATAATAACAACATTAAAATTTTGGCCACCAGGCAAGAAAGTGGCCTAACCTGTGGCCCATCGAATATTAAAAAAGTTGCTGACTTATGTAGTCTAGTATTAGCGAAAACTCCATTATAGCATAAAATAATTTTAGGATATGAATAGAATACTAATGAGTACTAATGATTACTTTTAATTACAGCTGCTTATATTCCCCCTGAGAAACAAAGACATAATGCACTCAGAAAGCATTGGAATAATGTGAACAATCCTACAAGTAACAGGAGATTGAAAATTAAGAAGGTACTTAATTGAGTAATTATGTTACATACTGCACGAAGTCCGAAAACATGCCCAATATATGGCAATTGGTTCACCCCCTATTACATGGGACTCATAACATAGAATAGTGAAAAGTGGGTGTTACATTGTACAGTGGTATTGAGAACCATGTGCACCACTGCTACCCCTTTGGGATTTAATTATGTTATATACTGTCAATATTAGTAGGATCAATGTTTGTAATATTATATTTCTGTTTGTTTTCTTTCAGGCATTCAATGCAGATAAAGATGAAGCTGGTGAATTAAAAAAGGCAAGAAAGCTTCTGACTAAGTAAGTTATTGAAATACTTTCAAGGTAATATGCAAGAAATATTTATTTCTATCTTTAATATTTGTTTCTGTTTCAGCTTAAATAAGAACAAGAAGAAACTTAGTGATCTAGGCATAAATTACGATTTCTTTGCACCAGTAGATGTGCCAGAAGCACTGCTTAGTGAGATAGTTAAAGAAGAAAAACTTGAAGATAAAAATTCTGTTAAAGAAGAAGAGAAGCCTAAGAAGGGTAAAAAGGAGAACAAACAGAAGGTAAAGAAATGTAACGTTTGGTTTAAACCTTTTTTAGTTTAAACTATCTTTATCTGTGGGGGTAAAAGTGACCTATGTTACTCGGTGTAGCTACCTCAAAGAGTAATGTATTTATTTTGGTATATGTATATTAATAATTATACATGTAGTATAAAGCGGTTTATATTTCAATATTACAAACAGACACTCCAATTTTATTTATATGTACACATGTTTAGATTGATATGCAGATTGCAGGTTCATTAATTTGTGAGTCATTAATGTTTTAGATGACCATTGATATTGAGTTTGCAATAAGTAAAATTGTATTAGTATTAGGTTAATTGTAATTATTGTAAACAAGAAGTAGTTTGTGGATTAAATAAATAAATATGAAAACTAAGGAGGAGGTCATAAAAACCATGTGATTAATGGATGGTCCCTTATAATGGGTGTATTATGCCGTATCAAATGCCGAATAATCAAATATCAATTAATTGACCTAATAACTACTACATATTGAAAGCCCACAAATACACATTAAGAATATGAAACATTAAGAATATGAAAAATGGTTATTATATTGAACATTTAATACTCATTACATCATGTGTTCAAAATATCAAATGTTGGTTTAATCGAGATTTTAGTAATTAAATGTTTTATAATAAAGTGATATGTTACACATTGCATATCGATCCTATTCAAAGGTCAGAAGAAATACACAAATACCTTTAAATTACATTTTAAAATTATTTAACATTTACAGGAAGAAGCAAAACCTGAAATAAAAGATAGTGGTAAACCACAGGAAGTTAAAGGAAAAAAGAATAAAAATAAAAAAGAAGACGGCAAACCAGAAAACCCACCAGCGGTAGCTAAAAAAGACAAAAAGGCAGAAGATAAAAAAGAAAATGGTAAAAAAGCAAATAAGAAAGATGTAAAACCAGTAAAAGTTGATGAAAAACAACAGAAACAAAAAGAACAGAAATTGAAAGATGCTGGTGTTAAACCAGCTGAGTTTATTAAATTAGACAATGAAGATTCTGGTGAAGACAGTGACAGTTCAGATGAATATGCATTTGACTCTGATGAGTATGATAAAATGTTGGAAAAAATGAGTGAAAATTCAGAGTTATCATTTTTGAGTGATGAGGAAGATGAAGAATCCTTTGGTGATGATGATGAGGAGGAGGATGGTGATAAAGAGGTGGATGGCGATGAAGACGAAGAAGATGATGACAGGTGAGTTGATGTACCTGTTTGGTTTATTCTTCAAAACGGTAGACAAAATTGTACCACTTGTCCATTTTAAAATGTAAGTCACTTTGTTGACCATTCAGCTGATTTCCAATTTCGTGGAGTAATTTGTTTGCTTCAGGAATCCAATTTACTTTTGGTGTTGGGTAATAGTACTTGTGCTGCAATTAATCATTAATCAAGTGTTCTGTCATAGAACTACTTTTTCAGTTAATATTTCTGATTCCAGTGATGAAGAAGAGGCACCACCTAAGAAGGTTAAAGGTAAACCTGCTTTAAAAGTAGTACAGCCTGTACCTACCAAAAAACAGCCATCAAAACCACAGGCAAAGAAACAGTCGCCACCCAATCCACAGGCTAAAAAACAAGAACAAAAGAAACCTGTTGAAGCTAAAAGGAAAGCACCTACAAGTAAGTGTATATCCATTGACTAGCTTCAACACTCGCGCGATTTCACTCGCAACTCGGGTCCAATAGTCATAGATGATTGTAGTAGTGAGTTTTTATAGTCATCTTCTGTAACTGTAATTTGTTATTTTCAGAACCAGCAGTTTCACCTAAGAAACCGAAGTTTGAGAAGACAAATCAAAAACCTATGAAAAAACAGTTTAAGAAAAAGTAGGATTAATAAATATGTATAATTATTGTTTTTCGTTTTAATTTTATTAATTATACAAACCTTGTAATGATACCTAAGCTAGCTAGGTAAAAGGTACCTCCTTTGAGGAGGAGATGGAAGCGAGAGGAATATAACGCATTCCCGAACTTCAATAAAAAAAAATTGCAGGTACTATTTATTTATTGACTTCATTTTCTAATAACTTGAAATATACACGTAAAACCAATACCATTTATTCTACCAATAGGTATATAATAAAGACATACTGATACATGCGGCGGGGTTCACAGGACACTACTTATTGATAAAAATATTTAAATATTCAAAATTTAATAAAATGTACATAGTACACAACTACACACTTATCTACCTTGAATGAAAGGTGCAAATTTAATAATTAATGGAAAAATGTAAGAATATTAAAGTTAAAAAGTTTGATTGACTTATTATAAGTTTGTTCCACTATATTTTTATGAAATGTTAGTAAAAATGCCCTGCATTTATTTGTACTTATTGAGTAATGAACTTTATTTGGTGTCAATCAAACTTGAAGATAGATATAGCCTCACTGAAGCATTGTAGACACCTAACAAGTCGTTCACAAAGAATGTATTTCTTTGACTTCTTATACATACTAATACAAAAATAAATGTTATTTGTTCTCTGAAATTGAGCTTAGATAGGTTCTCATTTTCAGCCTCTCCATTGTCACACTACCTCAGTAAGGCAGTTCTTAAATACGTACCTACCTAATATAAAATATGTAACATGTGGCGAATTATTATTTAAAGTTCACAAAAACTGGTAGCCACCATTGGTTCTACCGAAAATGGCAGAATATGCTCTGTAATTTTCTGTCTTTTAGATCACTTAGGTACTTGTATGGTCTCTTCCAACCTATCTTACATAATATGTAAACGATTTCATAACTACACAGTACTATATATTAATAATAATATAATTAAATGATTCAGCACACAAATAAAATATGTGTTTGAATAAATCGACAACAAAATTATCTTAAATGTATTTAAATTTATAATAAGAATTACTCTGCCTCATTTAGCTGGACTATAACTGGCCTTTCGTCTTCTTCATCAGCATCTAAACCAGTGAAATCCCATTGCAATTTATCCGTCAGATTGTCCTTGAACCTCTCAATCATTGTCAGAAGACGGCCGTCGACTTTGCTCACATAAGCAGTACGGAAAAATTCCCGTAGTTTCTTGTAGACTAAATTCTTGTTCATAACAATGTCAGCAAGGAAATCCTCAGGCATTTCTTCAATTTGTATTTCGATTGTTCTGATGAAATGGAAGAACACGCTGCGGTATTTGTGTATGGCATCGTCGCAGGAGCACATAAGGATCACCAGATTTTTCCAATGTTCAAAAGCTTCGAGAGAATGTCCGATAAGAAAACACAGGTACGCGAATTGAAGTTCGCCAATGATATGTAGCGGCCTGGAAATAAAAAAAAAGTTTTAATAAAAATCATGGTTGACAATTATTTAAGATTGGCAAGAGTGGCAAGACGAGTGGTCGCAAGTGTGACTGCCGGGCGGGTTTGATTACCGGAAAGCAAAGTAATATTGGGGAGTATTAGTTTGGAGTCTGGAATTGTGGCTTATTTGATGGAACAATCATAACTAAACATAAAATTGTACATTTATATCTCCATCGACTCCTTTGAGTATGTGCTTTATGCAAAATATTTTATATACAAATATTGAATGAACTTACTCGTCATGTTGTGCGATCATAAGTTCCAATGAATAAGATTGGTCCAAATAGTGTTTCGTAATCTCTTCTGGTGTGGATCCCGGCGGAAACTTGTCGCGCGGTATTTCTGTGAATCTCATTGACATACCTGCAAGGTAAAGTTAAAAATATTAATATGAGACAGAAAATATCTATATCCTTTTATAAACGTGGAAAGTTTGTTTGAATGCACTAATCCCCAGAACCATTGGTTTGATTTCAATAATTATTTTTATGTTGCATAGTCCATTTATATTATTTAGCAGAACAGCAAATGAAATCGCAAGCTAGTTTATTATAATGCATCCTTCTCTTCATCAAACAACTGACAAACAAAATTTTCTAGACATTGAACTCAAACTTAACAAAATGTAGACTTAATAGTAAAATCTTTAAGTAATCTATTGTACACACAATATTAATTAATTTTTTAATAATGGAAGGGCACAAACTTGCATACTTTAAAGCTAAAACTTTTATAATAAAATAAAAATTGCCAAGTCATTTTCTGACACACATTATAACAATACTATTCAGCAAGGCATTCAATTCAACTCTAATAAATTACCTGGAGCAGGTTTCAAGTCTGGTAGCATTGCATCTTCTCTTTCTTCCTGTGTACCTCTCTTTGCTCTCTTAGCCGTGGATTGTCCAGCTACCTCTTCTTTATCTTCACCAGAGACTTTTGGAGATTCTTCCGCACCTTCTTGACTTTCAACCGATGCTGTAGACTTCACGCCCCTTGGTCTTTCCTCATCAGTCATAGAAAGGAGTTCTACAGAAGCTCTGATCATACCATTCTCTGGCGACAGTTTTGCTGCTAATTCAGCTGTAATAGGAATTAGTTATTAATGTTTGTTTATTATTCACAATATAATAATATTTATGGCAATTAATATGATAATTGCATATCAATGTCACATAAGATAATAAATTATTATACATTCTCTGTTAGTTGTAGGTAATAATTCTGCTACCTTGGTTATCTAACCTTCATTAATATAAAGGATGTATTATATTATTATTATAAACCTACCAGGTATTTGAGAAGTAAGTAGTTTCCATTTCTGCCATATTTCATAGGGGTAAGGTGCAAGGTGACGGTCCAAATTAAACAGATTGTCTTTCAGGCGCTGGATGCTTTCTTCTGTAATCTCTTCTTTACTCATGTCCTCTGTATCTTTGTCCCACATTTTGACTAGAAACTCTTTTTTGTGGAAGTAATGCATGAAGCCTGATCTGAGGATATTGAAACAGGATAATAAGCAAAAACTTTAACTAACTAGTAACTTTATAAATTAATAATTATATACTATTTGATATTAGCAGATTAGTCCATTTCGACATTATTTGGTAAATTATTCTATAATATTGGTGTTATTGCTTAGCATCATTCGTTTCGAACAATCATATGTTTCATTGTTGTTTGTTGTGATTTTGACATGTTTTATCAAATATCATGTTTTATAGAATTCATAGCAAAAAGAACTTACCTTGGCGACACGTCTCCAGTTCCTTTGCTTACTCCAGAAAAATGTATGTAGTGCAATCCAGGTGGAATCATTTTAATTCCGCGAAAATCTTCTTCTGTATTCCAGCACTGCATATCTATGCCAAACTGTGTTTCTTGAGGTACTCCGAGGAAAACAAACGTTCCTCCTTCGAGTAAAAGCTTTTTCGCAGTTTCTTGGTCCATTTTGTTGAGCTAAACCCGAAGTAAATCAATAAAATGTGATAAAAATACAAGCGATCAATATGTTTACATCCGGGAAATGTCAAATTTGTTTGACATTTGTCGAGAGTGAGATCGACGATGCGGTGCGTGCCGTGCGGAGGTAAGGTTGCTCGAAGGACCACAGGATAAAAATGTATTGTTTAGGCGTTTTTTTTTATCGTATTCATTGCGTATCTCTTGTTGTATTTGGTATTAGCTCCGTTGTTCAATAAATAATTGAATATAACTACGATTTTAAGTCTGATTGACATAAATGTTTATAAATGAAATATTTTTTTTTATTTCGTTCGTCGTTTTATTAAAACCTTCGTCGCCATCATGTTTGTTAATTTGGTATTTTGCCAATGATTGCATGAACTTCAGATTTTAGACCGTATCGGTAATACTGCTGATGGACTATGGCATAATGCTGGAAATATATTATGTGTGTGGATCGTGTGTCGGCGCCCTAGTATCTTACCCCTTTCATACTATATTTCTGTAGTTTCTATGGTTAGAGCCATATCTACTTGTTTAGGTATTGTGGCGTGTAGCGTGGGTTACCAAATGCTGTTACAGCCGATTGGTGACTATTGCGCTGCGCTACTCCACACCTCACAAATGAGTCTCTGACTTTAGTCACTTTCCTCTTTAAATTGAATTGAATTATGTAGGTACTTACCTAACAATTAACAGAGTCAGTAGTTATAGGTATAGGCATCGCATGCACGACTGTGAGTAGGTAGACTGATGATAATTAATTGATAATGACTAGCACGAGTCATTCATTGAAACACTGTTGTTCTAACTCACAGAACATCAAGCAAGAATGTAACAATTATTAGGTTTATATAGTTTTTGTTGTATTTTAATCAATTAGGATGGTAGGTAGGAAGTACCTTCATACAAGGTGTCCCTGAAGTCGACTTTCAAATGGCACCAGGTAATCGGCAAGGTTCCAACAGTTATCAGAAAAATATTTAAAGAATTCCAAGTCTTTAATTTTTTTTTGTTTTTAAATTACAATGCCTTATGTGTTGTCCACGAAAAAGTACACCATGTGCCAGTCTTTTGACTCTTGTTGCTACAATTCTTAATTTTTTCGTCTGTATTTTTGCTTACGTTATCCTAAATAATGCTTCAGTATTATGGAATCCCAAATTCTGAACCAACTGCTTTAAATTATAAAAGAATATCATTTTTTTTATCAACCAACTATTCTCACAGTATAATAGTATTGTTAATTTATTGTAGGTAGTCTCTTCGGTACATTTTTTATTAATTTCATCATTTTAATATTTTAAAATATTGTAAAGGCAGGTAAGTGACGTAAAAAGTAGGCACAGACCTAATAGCTACGTAGGACACTTGTGGGCACATGTAGGTACCTACACGTTTATGTAGGTACCAACTATCCAGAAAACTTGGACATAAGTTTTAAGTAGGGATTGAAACTCATAAATAATAATAATATTATTTATCCCCACTATTTTTTTAAGGGGGAAAAAATCATCGAATGTCTGCTTCACCCAAATCGAACCCGCTGGCCTGGCCAGCCGTTTGCTCAACCACCACTTAATTATCAAAGTTATTTAAGTTTAAAGTGTGAGAGAGTCATACTTCTCACACTTTAAACTTAGCTCGACCGGAGTGATACCACGGCCTCACAGAAAACCGACGTGAAAAAACACTTGCGTTGTGTTTCGTCATGTGAGTGAGGTTACCGGAGGCACAATTATCCCCCTCCTCAATCTGCCCAATCCCCGAATCCTAAACCTATATCCAAATTCCTAATCCCCAAAAGGTCGGTAACGCACATGTAACACCTCTTGCGACTGGTGTTTCGGGTGTCAAGTCTGCTCGTTTACCGGCTTATTCCATAAAAAAATTAGTGATTAAAACATCTCAAGTCTTCAGACTATGAAATGCAACCATTCCATGAATCATTCAACCGCTTGAGTTACTCAATCATTATTTTTAAATTATTATATCATGACCACGATATATAAAAAGTAGGTATGTACTTAAATAGGTTTCAATGTTCATCAATTTCAAGTTACAGTAGCCTGTAAGCATGTACCTATCTACTTGTGTACCTACTATACTGTATACCTACGTATTAGTAAATATATTATTTGCCCTTCAATGAAAATGCAAGTACGGATGTATCTATTACAAATGTGTCATCTACATAAGTACTTTCCCAATGTAAACTCGATATTAAAAATCCACTAAGAGCTCATACATACGTACGAAAATTGCACCGATCCCAAAGAGGTTTGTTTTCCACTTGTGATTTCGTCAGACGAGCGAGCACACTCGTTCGAATAGTTTGCGTTCGTTGAAAAATTCCTACCGAAATTTTAGTCTGAATTTTTTTCGAGTTCTCGCGTCGAGAGGTTAACACAGAAAGCTAGATGTCGAGCATTACGCAGCACCTGCATTTTTGTTTTAGTACTGATTTTTTTTGACTAATTATTTTCAACAGGTGACGAATTCAACGTCTCGAGCACCACTAGCGCCGGCGAGACGGAGCGGCAATCAGAAAAGCGCTTTAGTTTAGCTGTCGCTTGCAATTAGTGGATTTTATGAACCAACCAGACTATCCCACTATAATGTACTCCGTCTTTATTTCGTGGTTTTAATTATCGGCGTATCTGTCTTTTAATTGGTACGGTTTTGTTCTCTTTCTGATAACCATAAAGAATGAAGATCATTGTAACCGTGTTAAAAATAAAGGAAACAAAGTTGCCTTTGTACTTAGGGTAGTTGTTGACAACCCCGAACCGTTACGTAATTCAATTTTGTAGAATGTAGATGTTTCAGAATTCAAAGGTTCATGTTTGAAAATTCGTTGCATTTGATTGCTGTCCTGTCGGTGATTTTTGAGTGGCGTTAGTTCTGCGGCATCTCCCTGTCAATCGACTTCAAAAATCGGTTCCCTTTAAAATTCATGACAGTGAGTGATGAATATTGAAGGGAAGCGTGCCAAATATTGTAATTTCAAGTTTTTTTTACTTTCTAATTGATAAAGACACATGGTTAATAGTTTTTCTTACCAACAATGCATTTTAATTATGACCGATTTCTCAAGTAGCTTTTAGTTATTAATGGAGATGTATGTCATACGAAAATAATGTACAGTACAATTCGTAACTGGCAATTGGCACATTTTAATCAAATTGTTAGCAGTTCTTTTTCACAACTGGGTCTCGATACATCCGATTTTTGATATCGCTGACGAATAGAGACTCTCAGTGGGTATACACCTGGGAAATTAGGATGTAAATTTCCATTCGCCCGCTCCCGCGGACCTATATTCACCGTTTCTTTGTTTTCATCGGAAATTTAAGGATACAAAGTCTCAGGGGCCTTCCTGCGCGAAGACAGCAGGATTAGGCCGCGAGGGATGATGAATACAGGGGCACACACATACACAAGGGCTTCAAGATAAAATTCACACCTTCTGTTAGATAAATTGGATCCAAATGATTACAATTGTGAATATTTCGTTGTTTATTTTTATGTGTGTTGCCTTGAGCTGGATTCAATTTCGCTGATATTTTATGATGGTTTTTCAATAAATATTGCTATACCAATCGCAATTGTATAAGCAAATGTTACCGAAAAGCGTTTGGGACAATATAAGCATTGTTTTATTGTGACTTGTTACCGACACATTTTCCTCATATTTTCATTTTGTCCTCATCTGTCTAAGTTACTAGAACTGAACACACATCGATATAATAACTAAGTAACCTGCACGTTAATGTACATCGACAACACGTCTCGGAAGCACTCCGGAGACATGAACACTATTAAAAGTTCGACTAACTCCGTGAGAGTAGCGACGCAACTAGTTTATGTTAGCGACCTATCTAAGCACCAAATAGCCTCGGAGATGTAATTCTTACAACTAGTAGGTAGTGGTTGTTTGATAGTTCGGACACCACAAAATCTCAGGAGCAAAATAATAAAGATAAGTAAGATTGTTTTGCTAAATCTCTGTCGTTTAAATTAAATATTCTGATTAAGTATTGAGAATGTTACATCTGCGTACCTATTCATTGATACTTGTAAATAGGTACATGCAAAAGTTTTGTGTAAAAATATTTTAGACTACGAGTCTACGGCGTAGTATTCAACGCTACGCCACGTAGCGTCGTAGCTGCTATTACTACAAGTAATTCAGTTTTTCATTTTAGCGATATTTATGATATTCTAAAGCATAAATAATACTTTGATAACAGAATGTATTGTGCTACAAAAATAATCTTTGTTTATTGTTTGTCTGCAGTTTACACCGGCAAAGAGTAACATAATCACGAAACTCTCATATATTTTAATAAACATAAACGAAACTCTGAACTTCTTTTGAAACAACTATATATTACTTACTGTAGGTACACAATATGCGCGTGTTCAGTGATGTACATTATGTTTGTATAGGTATAATTTATGAATTATTGTGAGTAGGTATATTATTGCTGAAAGTCATATATTGTTTGTTTATTTTACATAGCTATAATGTTCAGTGTAAGTACTGAGTGAAACTTGAATTAACTCAGTATAGGTATATAGTTCTATCACATAATTTTATATTGTTTTTAGAACTCTGTGTTTTTACATACATCCATAACTTCACGCCTGTCTCCCATGGGGGTAGGCTGAGACTAGGGAACGCCAATTACTACGATTCCTACATACTTCTTTCGCTTCATCAACAGTCATCAATCTTTTCATGCACAGGTGCAGGTTAAGGGTACTTTTAATTTGGCCCTTCTTTAATATATCACTAATCTGGTCACTATATGTATATGCAACTCTGTGATATTAATCTATACTATATTTTTATTTATTCGATAGGTTGACATTTGGCCACCATCTCGCCTGGTGGTAAGTGATGATGTGTCCCCGAAAATGTGCTTCTATTGTCAAATAAGTTTGCCGTAGTCCTCACGTTTCGCGCGCCTTAAAGAGCC